TTTTCTGTTGAATTCAAAAACTCCTTACTTGCCCCCAGAGGACAATTAGAGGCAATATAATATAAACACTGCAACAACTGTAAACAAGGGATGAGGAAAAACAGTCAGCACCAAATTCAAGATTTAAGTTTTGTTTTTTGTTTTTTTAAATGGGACAATATGCGTTGATGAACATTTACATGTAAATGCATGGGATTACAGCCAAGCAGCTAATTTCCATCCCCAGTCCCATTAGCAGGTTGGTGTCAATAAATAAAACCAAAAACAAACATTAACAATAGGAGTGAAACACACAGTGCATATCAGCAACAAAGTAGATGATATACAAACAAACAAACAAAGAAAAAAAAAATCAGGCTGAGAGTCGGGGGACCACACACTGAATCATAAAGTGCTGGAGTGCTAACTTTAGTGCCATAATGCTAAAGTGCCAAGTGATTTAAGTGCACAGCACTAGCTGCTTGGGAGCTCAGGTCCTCTTTATATTACACATTGCCCAACATTGCACTGAAAAAAGAAAGAAAAAAGTGCCTGTTGCAATGCACATTACCCTACTGAATTCAAAATTCAGCCAGTTATTGCATATAAAATTTTGGCCAATGTTGAAAATAGTGAAATACCAAACAAGGAAAACAAACTATTCTACTACTACTACTACTGATAATAGTAATAATAATCATAATCATAATAATAGTCATGATCAAAATCATATTATTATTATTATTATTATTATTATTATTATTATAAATGGAGAAATAAAAAACAAATCTGAGTACCTGAGACCAGCATAATATGTTCAAATTGGCATTAGATAAGGTACGTAGAGATTCAGCAAATGCAAGTTAGCCCGAGGTAGATATATTAGCTGCTGGACTCACAGGGTAAGTGGATTTGCATGGCGCTGCTGTTTTTGGAGCAGTTATTGTAAAATCAATCGAACTACAACAGTGTTGGTTCTTGTAGGTTTATTTACTTAATCCTGAATATAAGACAGTCCTTTTTTTTTTCTTTTTTTTTTTAACACGAACAAACCTGTTATGGAGTTGGGTTAAGAAAGTACGTTCTTCATCTGGCCTGATGACAATAATGATAAAAGTATCGTCATTATATATGTCAGGTCAATTAAAGTGTACAAATAAAATAGATAAAATTTTAACCCTTTAATTGATCAGCATGTGTTTTTTGTCAGACAGCAGTTAAAATTCTTATTGATGTTTGGTTGTGGATTACAATCAATATCAGTTTATGTCAAGATTAACAAAGACAGCGCAGAGCGAGAGATGAGGTCAGTACACCTTAAGTAACTGTCAGAGTGTGTGTTTGTGCGCACATGTGTATTTTATTGATGTTTTCCTGCGCTCTCTAACATGTTAAATTGATTTCCAGTCATGGTTGTTGATCCTTGAGTTCAGTCGTCTCTATCAGCACTGTATCATCTTCATCGTCTCCTTCCCTCTTTCTTTTCCTCCTCCTCCTCCTCCTCCTCCTCCTCCTCCTCCTCAGTAGGGGGCTAATCCATCTGTCACTTGTCAGGCTGTATGATCTTTAAAGATCAGTGTGGTGCAAGGGTGAATAAATGCATGATCTGATTTATCCATTTTGAGATTCAGACAGGTCTGACCAACACAGACAGATGAATACTGACCATGTCTCTTGATATGGTAATATAAATGCAGATTGAGTGATGGATCGCCACCTGGATTACATTAAGCAAATAGATAAGAGGCTATCACTGGATTATAACTGCATGAGTGATAATGTTTCAGCTGGCAATAAGTTATTTAACCCTAACTGATGCAGTGAGTAGCATCTCCTTTCTTGTATAACCATGTCAAAACACACATCCTGTGGTTGTGGAAATCTGAATGATTGCTATGTATCAAGCAAAAAAATGATCACTTAAACTTTGGTGAAATCAAATCCTAAACAAAAACCATAGTAGAATTCAGGGCTATGTTTAAGAGTGAAGGTGAGAACATTTCCCATCATTAGTACCAGATCTTTGTAAAAATTTAATGCAGTTCTGGATGGAAATAAATGTTGTGAGATTGCAGAAGCTTGTTGAAACAATGCCACAGCCAGTGAGAGCTGTAATCAATGCTAGAGGCGATCCAACAAAATAAGAGTGCTTTTTTTTTAAAGCCAGACTTGAAATACTGCAGTCTCAATAACATCACTGAAAGGAGTATAAAAGTCATGTGATTGTGTGAATGATGCACAGCAAATGTAGAATTAATGCAGCCTTAGTTGTCTGCCTGAACTAGCTCCCACATATCCCTTCATTAGTGATACTTAGGGTATCCTGCTTTGACATGAGTAAATCAAATTAGTCCATGACCAAACATAAGTCACATTTCTCCTCTGCCTGTTGACACTGTGGTAAAAACAGTAGTCTTGAGCATCTCAGGCTGGTTTCTAACATTTCCCCTCTGTCTGTTAAATATGGTTTGATAAATCATCTTGTTTTACAGTCTTATTCCCATAGAGACAGATATAATGATCATACAGAGATTATGTAGTATTTTTACCATCCATCCACCTATTAAGCTTCCTCTGCTTATCCTGAGTCCGGTTGCAGGGGAAGCCCAGACTTCCCTTTCCATAGCCACTTTGTCCAGCTCTTCCCAGGGCACCCTGAGGTGTTCCCAGCTCTTCATCCTCTCTCTAAGGAAGAGCCCAGTCATCCGCAGAGGAAACTCATTTGTGCTCATTTTATCATCTCCTAGATAAATATCAATACAGCACTGAATAAATGACCGTCATGGTGAGGAAGGCTTTGATTTATTACAGGATATACATTCAAATTCACACTTATGGTCATGAGCTTTGGGTACTGAATAAGATTGTGGATCACAGCAACCAAAGTTAGGTTTCTTGGAAATGTGACTGGGCTTAGCCTCCAGGTCTTTGCACAGAGCCTTTTTTTCTTCATTCAGAAGATCTATTATCAGATTGGACCTCAGAGTAGAGCTGACGCTCCTTTGTATTGAACGTAGCCAGTTGAAGTGGTTCAGGGGTCTGAATAGGATGCCTTCGGGCTGCCCCCCTGGGAATGAACCTCCGGGTAGGCTCAGCTCGATGGGTTATGATGATGCAGTACATTCAGTCTTGCCTGGGAATATGGAGAAACCCCCGGAGGAGCATGGGAAACATCAGCAGAGAGAGAGAGATGTCTGAGACATCTTACCTAGTCTGCTGCCACTGCAACCTGATCTTGGATAAGTTGAGTAAAATGAATATGGGGTTATTAGCATCCTGACATGTCAACATCCAGCAAATACGAGGTTCTTTGGTCAGCGCTGACCATAGACTGTATATACTATGTACAACTTGGTTCTGCCTTCCGTCTGTATACGGATTTGAAGCCCAAAAGCTCTCGGTATTTCCGTGATTTCTCTTCATTTCCTGAAACCAGCATTGCGCAGTAGCATTGTGCGCATTCGGCACTGAGAGTCACTGTGATGACACTCGGCTCAAACAGCATATCCCCTGGGTGAGCTACACAATCCCTGAACGCCAATAGGCCGATGAGGAGGCAGATGCTGTCCATTCTATATACAGTCTATGGCGCTGACCCCCATACTGCCTTTGTTTCACCACACAAAGACCTACTTCATGACAAGAATGAACATTTATCTGCAGAAGACGCCTGTAAAGAAAGATTAAACTGATAAGAATGGTTTAATATTTGAATAGAAACACAAAGAAGTCTGTATGTATTTCTTGATGGATTGACTCAGTTTCTTTTCCCTTCTTACAAGCTAAGCAGAAAAAAAAACATCCCTCATTCAGTGACACATCATACATAATACAAAGATCTCTCTATATGAGTTAAAACTATGATTACTTTCATATAACATGAGAAAAAGAAGCCGCAGACATTTGCACAGAGAGGAACAGGGTTGTTGAAACAGCTCTGAGTGAAACCAGTGTGGATGTCCCCCATCAGCCCACCTGCTGATTCTGGACGTGTGAACAGAGTGGATTATGGGATGTGGAGAGCTCCCTTCAATCAGCAAACACAACAGAAGCTGCTCTTCCTCCTCAGAGATCCACCTCCTCTCAGTGAACACCAGAACAGCTCCTCACGTCCTCTTATTGGACGCTGTGATCATCAGCCAGCGAGACAAGAGAGTCAAACCACAGAGGTTATTTTTTAAATGAAGCTTCATTCAGAGTCACCCTTAAAAATAAACATCAAAGTATCTATTGTGAGGGAATTTATAGGAAATTCTCTTTCTTTTTTTAAATGTAGATATTTATGACTTTTTTTACAGCGCTTGTTTAGCTAAACTTTGAAGGGATTATTGATTCCAATTACTTTTTATGTACATCGTGTTGCATTATCATAGTATCATAGGTGCTTTATAAATAAGGTCTGATTAATTGATAAAGTAATTGTTTGACTTGATTCTTTCAGCAATATTCTCAAACATTGAAAATAAGGGCCCATGTCCACTGCTCTTGCAGCACTCACAACCTTAATCTCACCCATGCCTGAGGTAAAATCATGCACAGAATGTTGTGAGGCAGGCTCGTAGTAAGGACCCAGAAGCAGACACTAGCCACGTTTACATGCAGACTTTTTTCTCATTCGGATTATAATCATTCCGATTGAAGCTCCCAGGCGAACTGTTTACATGGAAGCGATCTATTCTGATCTGGTGTTTACATGTGCCACGGCATTCAATCGGAACAGCTATTTACAGACACGTGATACCTTCAAACATCACGTGATTGATTGATCATGTGATCTCCGACGCAGACCAGTGCATAGTGCTCTGCTTGGAAGCCGCCATCATGTTTCCATGTGAGTCATACGTCACTGCTTGTTTACATCAGGACAGAGCATGCGCAGACAGAACCCAGCCTGACAACTTTCCAATTCACCGTTTACATGACAGGATTTTGCTTTTAATCGGAATGGGAAAAGGAAAATTCTACCCCTGTGAATCGGAATGAAATTCCATTCGGAATGGGCCTGTTTATTCCGAATGAGGTGTTTATATGGAGCATTTTCATTCCGATTGGGCTTCTAATCCGATTATATTTGGAATATTTGGCTCCATGTAAACGTAGCTAGAGAGACAGGGATCAACGTAAAGCGAATTTAATGTCCAAAACAGAAAGGGATAGCTAAGGAAACAAAGGAAGTCCGGGTGGTTGGCTGGTTGGCTGGCTGTCGTGTGGGCTGGAGACACTGCAGGAGAAACCAGATGAGACAGGAGTTAGAGAACATGAAAAAGAGTCACTAGGAGCAAAGTTCTCAAAGTTATACCACGAGGAAGGCCAGGAGACGCGTCTGTACCGCTAGGAAGGGTAGACAATACTCAGGCGCTGAGACTGAGGGCTGCAGGCTTCTTAAAGTCCCTTAATTGGAGATAAGGAGCAGGTGTGTCGTCTCACTCAGCCTCAGCAACGGGGGAGGGGAGGAAGCTCTGGAAAAGAGTACAGCCAGACCAGGCAAACAGGGAAAAACAGGAAGTCCAGCCAAAATAAAACAGGATGAGGAGGCGTCTCACCACACAGAAGCCTTGCGCACTGAGCGTGATGAGTGTTTTTTTTCTATTAAATGTGAAAATTTGCCACATGAAGAAAAAAAAAAAAAAATTAGTGTCACTGAGAGGCTGTGGCATTTGAAGCAGTGATATTCCTGTTAATTTGCTATCCATCAGTGATCACAGATGACTACAGCTCAGTGTTGCCAACTCCTCAGTAAGGAAAGTCATTAGTGGCTGTCGTAGAAGTCGCTGGATGACGTCATTGCCTAATTAGGGCCCGAGCCAGCTGCAGAGCAGCCGGGCGTAGGCCCTATTATTCCCCAAGTGGTTTTTAGGGCCCGAGCCAGCTGCAGAGCAGCCGGGCGTAGGCCCTATTATTCCCCAAGTGGTTTTTCTTTGTTTCTTTCTTTCTTTCTTTAGGGCCCGAGCGTAGCTGCTAAGCAGCTGCGAGAGCCCTCTTGTTCCTGTAGTTTCCTTCTTTTGTTATTAGGGCCCGAGCGTAGCTGCTAAGCAGCTGCGAGAGCCCTGTTGTTCCTGATGAGTTTTTCTTTCTTCTTTCTTTCTTTCTTTCTTTCTTTCTTCTTATTTTTCCTCCCCTTTGAAGGGGAAAATGGCCCACTTCCCACTGGCGAAAACTCATGAAATTTGACAGGACGACCGGGCCTGGTGAAAAATTCGATATTCTGAAGTCGCCCAAACAATAAAATGCAAAATGGCTCCATAGCGCCCCCTAAGGTGAAAATTCACACTATTGACTGTCACGCCTGTACGCTTTGTCATATTGACACAAAAATTGACACACACATGTATCTCAATAAGATCTACAAAAAAGTCAGCGCGGGCGTATCTGTCAAATGTACGGTTAAAGGGTTATTTCGCATTTTTTGCCGATCCGCACACATTGGAATTTCGCTAACTCCTCCGAAGGCTTTCGTTCCACCGGCACCACATTTGCTCAGGCCAATCTACACCCCATGGCCATTAAAAGTTGTACAAATCATGACGCTGCACCCCACGGTTTACGTTCTAGGGGGCGCCAAAGATAACCCAAAGATCCACAGTCTTAAAAGTCTTATAACTTTTTATTTTGTCCTCACTGGCCTCCAAGTTCTCTAGGATGATGCAATGTCCAGCAATTAACACATTTGTGAAGGAATTTTTACTCACCAAAAGAGCGCCCCCCATGGCAGGAGAAAAAAGTCCATTTTTTCTTGTCCCCTAAGGCGAATATACACATTGTTGAGTGTCACGCCTGTACGCTTTGTCATATTGACACAAAATTTGACAATCACGTGTATCTCAATAAGATCTACGAAAAAGTCAATGTGCGCGTATCTGTAAAATGTACAGTTAAAGGGCTATTTCGCATTTTTTGCCGATTCGCACACATTGGAATGTGGCTAACTCCTCCTAAGGCTTTCGTTCCACTGACACCAAATTTGCTCAGGCCAATCTACACCCCATGGCCATTCAAAGTTGTACAAATCATGACGCTGCATCCCACGGTTTACGTTCTAGGGGGCGCCAAAGATGACCCAAATATCCACATTTTTAAAAGTCTTATAACTTTATTTTTGTCCTCACTGGCCTCCAAGTTTTCTAGGATGATGCAATGTTCAGTCATCAACACATTTGTGAAGGAATTTTTTTTCCCCAAAAGAGCGCCCCCCCCATGGCAGGAGAAAAAGTCAAGTTTTTCCTGCCCATCGCTCAATGGCTCAAATTCATCGCTCTCTCGGCAAAACCGAAAGGAGGAGCACCTTGCCATTTGGGTATATACTAGCTGTATTTGTGCCCTCACTCATGGTCCAGACTTTTTTCAAAAAGGACATGGAGTTTGTCTGCAGCAAGCGTTTTGGTAGAAACTGCGCCTCCCATTCATTATAATGGTAAATGACCACAGACAAGTGCGCACACCATCTTTGGACCTTTAGTGTGACGCGATCGGGAGGGGTAGGTGGTCGCGCTGGGAGCGGCGCGACACGGCTCGGGCCCGCCAGTGCCCCAACGGGGCCCTAGTTATTATTTTTCCTCCCCTTTGAACTGGAAAATGGCCCACTTCCCACTGGCGAAAACTCATGAAATTTGGCAGGACGACCGGGCCTGGTGAAAAATTTGATATTCCGAAGTCGCCCAAACAAGAAAATGCAAAATGGCTCCATAGCGCCCCCTAAGGTGAAAATTCACACTATTCACTGTCACGCCTGTACGCTTTGTCAAAATGACACAAAAATTGACACACACATGTATCTCAGTAAGATCTACAAAAAAGTCAGTGCGGGCGTATCTGTCAAATGTACGGTTAAAGGGTTATTTCGCATTTTTTGCCGATCTGCACACATTGGAATTTCGCTAACTCCTCCGAAGGCTTTCGTTCCACCGGCACCACATTTGCTCAGGCCAATCTACACCCCATGGCCATTAAAAGTTATTCAAATCATGACGCTGCACCCCACGGTTTAGGTTCTAGGGGGCGCCAAAAATAACCCTAAAATCCACATATTTAAAAGTCTTATAACTTTTTATTTTTGCCCTCACTGGCCTCCAAGTTTTCTAGGATGATGCAATGTCCAGCCATCAACACATTTGTGAAGGAATTTTTACTCCCCAAAAGAGCGCCCCCCATGGCAGGAGAAAAAAGTCAATTTTTTCTTGTCCCCTAAGGTGAAAATACACATTGTTGAGTGTAACACCTGTACGCTTTGGCAAAATGACACAAAAATTGACACACACATGTATCTCAATAAGATCTACGAAAAAGTCAATGCGCGCGTATCTGTCAAATGTACGGTTAAAGGGTTATTCTGCATTTTTTGCCGATCCGCACACATTGGAATTTCGCTAACTCCTCCGAAGGCTTTCGTTCCACCGGCACCACATTTGCTCAGGCCAATCTACACCCCATGGCCATTAAAAGTTATTCAAATCATGACGCTGCATCCCACGGTTTAGGTTCTAGGGGGCGCCAAAGATAACCCTAAAATCCACATATTTAAAAGTCTTATAACTTTTTATTTTTGTCCTCACTGGCCTCCAAGTTTTCTAGGATGATGCAATGTCCAGCCATCAACACATTTGTGAAGGAATTTTTACTCCCCAAAAGAGCGCCCCCCCATGGCAGGAGAAAAAAGTCAATTTTTTCTTGTCCCCTAAGGTGGAAATTCACACTATTGACTGTCACGCCTGTACGCTTTATCATATTGACACAAAAATTGACACACCTATGTATCTCAATAAGATCTACAAAAAAGTCAATTCGCGCGTATCTGTCAAATGTACGGTTTAAGGGCTATTTTGCATTTCTTGCCGATTCGCACACATTGGAATGTGGCTAACTCCTCCTAAGGCTTTCGTCCCTCTGACACCAAATTTGCTCAGGCCAATCTACACCCCATGGCCATTCAAAGTTGTAAAAATCATGACGCTGCACCCCACGGTTTACGTTCTAGGGGGCGCCAAAAATGACCCAAAAATCCACATTCTTAAAAGAATCCACATCCCCCCCCCTATGGCAGGAGAAAAAGTCAAGTTTTTCCTGCCCATCGCTCAATGGCTCAATCGCATCGCTCTCCAGGCAACACCGTAAGGAGGAGCAACCTCGCATTTCGATATATCATAGCTGTGTTTGTGCCCTCACTCATGGTCCAGACTTTTTTCAAATAGGACATGAAGTTTGTCTGCAGCGAGTGTTTTGGTAGAAACTGCGCCTCCCATTCATTATAATGGGAAATGACCACAGACAAGTGCGCACACCATCTTTGGTTCTTGAGTGTGACTCGATCGGGACGGGGAGGCGGTCGCACTGGGGGCGGCGCGACGCGGCTCGGGCCCGACAGTGCCCCACCGGGGCCCTAGTTCTTTCTTTCTTAGGGCCCGAGCGTAGCTGCTAAGCAGCTGCGAGAGCCCTCTTGTTCCTGTAGTTTCCTTCTTTTGTTATTATTATTATTAGGGCCCGAGCCAGCTGCAGAGCAGCCGGGCGTAGGCCCTATTATTCCCCAAGTGGTTTTTCTTTGTTTCTTTCTTTCTTTCTTTCTTTCTTTCTTTCTTCTTTTTCCTCCCCTTTGAACTGGAAAATGGCCCACTTCCCACTGGCGAAAACTCATGAAATTTGGCAGGACGACCGGGCCTGGTGAAAAATTCGATATTCTGAAGTCGCCCAAACAATAAAATGCAAAATGGCTCCATAGCGCCCCCTAAGGTGGAAATTCACACTATTGACTGTCACGCCTGTACGCTTTGTCATATTGACACAAAAATTGACACACATATGTATCTCAATAAGATCTACAAAAAAGTCAGTGCGGCCGTATCTGTCAAATGTACGGTCAAAGGGTTATTTCGCATTTTTTGCCGATCCGCACACATTGGAATTTCGCTAACTCCTCCGAAGGCTTTCGTTCCACCGGCACCACATTTGCTCAGGCCAATCTACACCCCATGGCCATTAAAAGTTATCAAAATCATGACGCTGCACCCCAAGGTTTAGGTTCTAGGGGGCGCCAAAGATAACACTAAAATCCACATATTTAAAAGTCTTATAACTTTTTATTTTTGTCCTCACTGGCCTCCAAGTTTTCTAGGATGATGCAATGTCCAGCCATCAACACATTTGTGAAGGAATTTTTACTCCCCAAAAGAGCGCCCCCCCATGGCAGGAGAAAAAAGTCCATTTTTTCTTGTCCCCTAAGGTGAAAATACACATTCTTGAGTGTCACGCCTATACGCTTTGTCAAAATGACACAAAAATTGACACACACATGTAACTCAATAAGATCTACAAAAAAGTCCACGCGCGCGTATCTGTCAAATGTACAGTTAAAGGGTTATTCCGCATTTTTTGCCGATACGCACACATTGGAATTTCGCTAACTCCTCCGAAGGCTTTCGTTCCACCGGCACCACATTTGCTCAGGCCAATCTACACCCCATGGCCATTAAAAGTTATTCAAATCATGATGCTGCACCCCATGGTTTAGGTTCTAGGGGGCGCCAAAAATAACCCAAAAATCCACATTCTTAAATGTTTTATAACTTTTTATTTTTGTCCTCACTGGCCTCCAAGTTCTCTAGGATGATGCAATGTCCAGCCATCAACACATTTGTGAAGGAATTTTTACTCCCCAAAAGAGCGCCCCCCCATGGTAGGAGAAAAAAGTCCATTTTTTCTTGTCCCCTTACATGAAAATACACATTGTTGAGTGTCACGCCTGAACGCTTTGTCATATTGACACAAAAATTGACAATCATGTGTATCTCAATTAGATCTACGAAAAAGTCAAAGAGCGCGTATCTTTATAATGTACGGTTAAAGGGCTATTTTGCATTTTTTGCCGATTCGCACACATTGGAATGTGGCTATCTCCTCCTAAGGCTTTCGTCCCACCGATACCAAATTTGCTCAGGGCAATCTACACCCCATGCCCATTCAAAGTTGTAAAAATCATGACGCTGCACCCCACGGTTTACGTTCTAGGGGGCGCCAAAGATGACCCAAAAATCCACATTCTTAAAAGTCATTTTGGCCACTGCAGGAGTACAGAGTACTGCAGTTCTAGGGGGCGCCAAAGATGACCCAAAAATCCACATTCTTAAAAGGTTTTTTTGGCCACTGCAGGAGTACAGAGTACTGCAGGATACACACACATATACACACACGCCAACATACACACACACACAGACACACACACACACAGACACACACACACACTCAGAGTCTGTTTTTTAGCACCTGCAAAAACATGCTGTTTACATATTTGACAAGAATGCAGAGGTTTCCTTTTGCCCCTGAAAAAAATCAAATTTCAAACACAACTTGACTGTTCATTTCTCCAAAAGACAACCATGAAGCTCCATTTCAAACCTGAAGCAGATAGTTGGTGCATGTGTACAGTAACCTGAGGGGAGTGAGGTGACTATTTCTGAGGAGAACATGAGCAGTGAAGATTCACCTTGGAGCTAGAACAGGGACGTGCACATGATTATACAGGGGCAGGGGCTCAAGTTTTTTCCAGTCATTTATACAATATGGAAATTAATGTGAAATTAAACCACAAATATGTGTGATGAACTGTTTTTAAAACTTAAACTTCAAATAAAAATTGTAAACTTCAAAACATATGCAAATTTTTAACAAAGAACATAGTAATTTACCTCTATTTACATCAAAATGCAGGCAATGGCCCAGGCGTTCTTTGTAAAATTATTTACAAAACACTGTATAGTCTCACAAATGTCACTTTTTATTTATGCCACTACAAAAAAACATGATGTAAATGATGCATGATGTAAAACATGATGTAAAAAACTTGTGTAGATCCTCCTCTATGTCAGTCCATGTGTAATTTTTCCATAATTCTTTGTTTTTTGCAGCATTTTTGTTAGTGTAACTGCAGATTGTGCTGACAGTGTCTATGGCACAAAAAAAAAAAAAAAATTAAAATGCCTCAACATGAACCCCTGGTGGTCTCTGAGGGTGAAACCTGCTAACTGCTGCAGCTCTGTCAGCTTCAGTCTCCCATGCAGAGCTCTGAGCGCATGTGTGGCTCTGCACCCTTAGCAGCGTTGCTAACTCCTCAGTAAGGAAAGCCTGCTTCATGTCAGAGTCTCTAAACTCCAGAAGAAGTCGATAAAAGTCCCTTTCTTTCTAAAAAAAGTCGTTAGGGGGTCTGAAAAGTCATTGAATCTAACAACAAAGTCGCTAGGTTTGCAACTACGTGTCCCAGACTGCATCCCTGCTGAGAGTCCCTCCCTCCCTTCTCATATTGCAGGAAGAACGTAAGTTCCCGCCCCTTGTCAATCAGTCACCATATAATTTTGGATTGGTTGTTGTGGTGAAGTTTTCCACCAATAGGAGAGATGTTGTGGTGTGTTTTTTTTTTCTTTTGGCAAGCCTTTTCCGCCTGTAAGACCTGTCGCTAATGTCTGCATGCTATGTTTTCCTGTCACATACAGCGCGATCGAGCGCCGAGCGTGATCAAAATAAGCAGAAAAAAAGTATCGCGGACATAATTTATCATAACTCTGGTTTTATTTGGCCTATCAACACAATTTAAAAACTGGTATATAGGTTGAGGTCCTCACTTTTGAGATAAGTTGAAACGGAGAGTCAACAAGGCTCCGTCTTGCAGCTACATCCGGTTAAATATGTCATGTGACTTGAACGCACACACAGACACACACACGCACACACACACACACACACACACACACACACACACACTCAGAGTCTGGTTTTTAGCACCTGCAAAAACATGCTATTTACATATTTGACAAGAATGCAGAGGCTCCTTTTGCCCCTGAAAAAAATCAAATTTCAAACACAACTTGACTGGTCATTTCTCCAAAAGACAACCATGAAGCTCCATCCAAACCTGAAGCAGGCAGTTGGTGCATGTGTACAGTAACCTGAGGGGAGTGAGGTGAGTGCTTCTGAGGAGAACATGAGCAGTGAAGATTCACCTTGGAGCTAGAACAGAGACATGCACATGATTATACAGGGGCAGGGGCTCAAGTTTTTTCCAGTCGTTTATACAATATGGAAATTAATGTGAAATTAAAACACAAAGTATTAATAGAAAGGTAATGACTGTCCTGTGTAGGTGACAGTGATATCCAATAAGCTAGGCACTCACGAGGCTGGCTGTGGCAAGTGTAAGTGAAAGCAACACGCACTGGCAGGAAGAACAGCAAACGCCGATGAAGGAAAAGGGTCTTTGCAGTGATGGGCGTTAACAGAGAGGGCGATGGCCAGAGGACACAAATGGGACGGGGAGGCAGCACGTTGGGGGGGGGGGGGGGGAGACGCGACACGGCTCGGGCCCGCCAGTGCCCCAACGGGGTCCTAGTTATTATTTTTCCTCCCCTTTGAACTGGAAAATGGCCCACTTCCCACTGGCGAAAACTCATGAAATTTGGCAGGACGACCGGGCCTGGTGAAAAATTTGATATTCCGAAGTCGCCCAAACAAGAAAATGCAAAATGGCTCCATAGCGCCCCCTAAGGTGAAAATTCACACTATTCACTGTCACGCCTGTACGCTTTGTCAAAATGACACAAAAATTGACACACACATGTATCTCAATAAGATCTACAAAAAAGTCAGTGCGGGCGTATCTGTCAAATGTACGGTTAAAGGGTTATTTCGCATTTTTTGCCGATCCGCACACATTGGAATTTCGCTAACTCCTCCGAAGGCTTTCGTTCCACCGGCACCACATTTGCTCAGGCCAATCTACACCCCATGGCCATTAAAAGTTATTCAAATCATGACGCTGCACCCCACGGTTTAGGTTCTAGGGGGCGCCAAAGATAACCCTAAGATCCACATATTTAAAAGTCTTATAACTTTTTATTTTTGCCCTCACTGGCCTCCAAGTTTTCTAGGATGATGCAATGTCCAGCCATCAACACATTTGTGAAGGAATTTTTACTCCCCAAAAGAGCGCCCCCCCATGGCAGGAGAAAAAAGTCCATTTTTTCTTGTCCCCTAAGGTGAAAATACACATTGTTGAGTGTAACACCTGTACGCTTTGGCAAAATGACACAAAAATTGACACACACATGTATCTCAATAAGATCTACGAAAAAGTCAATGCGCGCGTATCTGTCAAATGTACGGTTAAAGGGTTATTCCGCATTTTTTGCCGATCCGCACACATTGGAATTTCGCTAACTCCTCCGAAGGCTTTCGTTCCACCGGCACCACATTTGCTCAGGCCAATCTACACCCCATGGCCATTAAAAGTTATTCAAATCATGACGCTGCACCCCACGGTTTAGGTTCTAGGGGGAGCCAAAGATAACCGTAAAATCCACATATTTAAAAGTCTTATAACTTTTTATTTTTGTCCCCACTGGCCTCCAAGTTTTCTAGGATGATGCAATGTCCAGCCATCAACACATTTGTGAAGGAATTTTTACTCGGCAAAAGAGCGCCCCCCCATGGCAGGAGAAAAAAGTCAATTTTTTCTTGTCCACTAAGGTGAAAATACACATTGTTGAGTGCTACGCCTGTATGTTTTGTCGTATTGACACAAAATTTTACATACACGTGTATTTCAATAAGATCTTCGAAAAAGTCAATGGCCACGTATCTGTAAAATGTACGGTTAAAGGGTTATTTCGCATTTTTTGCAGATTCGCACACATTGGAATTTCGCTAATTCCTCCGAAGGCTTTTGTTCCACCGGCACCACATTTGCTCAGGCCAATCTACACCCCATGGCCATTAAAAGTTATTCAAATCATGACGCTGCACCCCACGGTTTAGGTTCTAGGGGGCGCCAAATATAACCCTAAAATCCACATATTTAAAAGTCTTATAACTTTTTATTTTTGTCCTCACTGGCCTCCATGTTTTCTAGGATGATGCAATGTCCAGCCATCAACACATTTGTGAAGGAGTTTTTTCTCTTTAAAAGAGCGCCCCCCATGGCAGGAGAATAAAGTCAAGTTTTTCCTGTTCATCATTCAATGGCTCAAACGCACTGCTCTCTCGGCAAAAGCGAAAGGAGGAGCAACTTGCCATTTGGATATATCTTAGCTGTGTTTGTGCCCTCACTCATGGTCCAGACTTTTTTCAAATAGGACATGGAGTTTTTCTGCAGCGAGCGTTTTGGTAGAAACTGCGCCTCCCGTTCATTATAATGGTAAATGACCACAAACAAGTGCGCACACCATCTTTGGACCTTGAGTGTGACGCGATCGGGTGGGGGAGGCGGTCGCGCTGGGGGCGGCGTGACACGGCTCGGGCCCGCCAGTGCCCCAACGGGGCCCTAGTTTCTTCTTTTTCCTCCCCTTTGAACTGGAAAATGGCCCACTTCCCACTGGCGAAAACTCACGAAATTTGGCAGGACGACCGGGCCTGGTGAAAAATTCGATATTCTGAAGTCGCCCAAACAATAAAATGCAAAATGGCTCCATAGCGCCCCCTAAGGTGGAAATTCACACTATTGACTGTCACGCCTGTACGCTTTGTCATATTGACACAAAAATTGACACACATATGTATCTCAATAAGATCTACAAAAAGTCAGTGCGGCCGTATCTGTCAAAATTACGGTTAAAGGGTTATTTCGCATTTTTTGCCGATCCGCACACATTGGAATTTCGCTAACTCCTCCGAAGGCTTTCGTTCCACCGGCACCACATTTGCTCAGGCCAATCTACACCCCGTGGCCATTAAAAGTTATCAAAATCATGACGCTGCACCCCAAGGTTTAGGTTCTAGGGGGCGCCAAAGATAACACTAAAATCCACATATTTAAAAGTCTTATAACTTTTTATTTTTGTCCTCACTGGCCTCCAAGTTTTCTAGGATGATGCAATGTCCAGCCATCAACACATTTGTGAAGGAATTTTTACTCCCCAAAAGAGCGCCCCCCCCATGGCAGGAGAAAAAAGTCAATTTTTTCTTGTCCCCTAAGGTGAAAATACACATTGTTGAGTGTCACGCCTATACGCTTTGTCAAAATGACACAAAAATTGACACACACATGTAACTCAATAAGATCTACGAAAAAGTCAATGCGCGTGTATCTGTCAAATGTACGGTTAAAGGGTTATTCCGCATTTTTTGCCGATCCGCACACATTGGAATGTGGCTAACTCCTCCTAAGGCTTTCGTTCCACCGGCACCACATTTGCTCAGGCCAATCTACACCCCATGGCCATTAAAAGTTATCAAAATCATGACGCTGCACCCCACGGTTTAGGTTCTAGGGGGCGCCAAAGATAACCCTAAAATCCACATATTTAAAAGTCTTATAACTTTTTATTTTTGTCCTCACTGGCCTCCAAGTTTTCTAGGATGATGCAATGTCCAGCCATCAACACATTTGTGAAGGAATTTTTACTCCCCAAAAGAGCGCCCCCCCCCCATGGCAGGAGAAAAAAGTCCATTTTTTCTTGTCCCTTAAGGTGAAAATACATATTGTTGAGATTCACGCCTATACGCTTTGTCATATTGACACAAAATTTGACAATCACGTGCCTTGCCTGGTATCATTTTTTTCAGCACAACCTCACCTGTGCGAATTTACAGTTATTTTATCATGTTGACATACTGAATTTACACAATGGACCCAAATTCACACACAAAACATAAAATCCGAGTGGAAAAAAGTAACATTTTTACTGTGAAAACCACAAATATGTGTGATGAACTGTTTTTAAAACTTAAACTTCAAATAAAAATTGTAAACTTCAAAACATATGCAAATTTTTAACAAAGAACATAGTGATTTACCTCTATTTACATCAAAATGCAGGCAATGGCCCAGGCGTTCTTTGTAAAATTATTTACAAAACACTGTATAGTCTCACAAATGTCACTTTTTATTTATGCCACTACAAAAAAACATGATGTAAATGATGCATGATGTAAAACATGATGTAAAATACTTGTGTAGATCCTCCTCTATGTCAGTCCATGTGTAATTTTTCCACAATTCTTTGTTTTTTGCAGCATTTTTGTTAGTGTAACTGCAGATTGTGCTGACAGTGTCTATGGCACAAAAAAAAAAAAAAAAAAAAATGCCTCAACATGAACCCCTGGTGGTCTCTGAGGGTGAAACCTGCTAACTGCTGCAGCTCTGTCAGCTTCAGTCTCCCATGCAGAGCTCTGAGCGCATGTGTGGCTCTGCACCCTTAGCAGCGTTGCTAACTCCTCAGTAAGGAAAGCCTGCTTCATGTCAGAGTCTCTAAACTCCAGAAGAAGTAGATAAAAGTCCCTTTCTTTCTAAAAAAAAGTCGTTAGGGGGTCTGAAAAGTCATTGAATCTAACAACAAAGTCGCTAGGTTTGCAACTACGTGTCCCAGACTGCATCCCTGCTGAGAGTCCCTCCCTCCCTTCTCATGTTGCAGGAAGAACGTAAGCACCCGCCCCTTGTCAATCAGTCACCATATAATTTTGGATTGGTTGTTGTGGTGAAGTTTTCCACCAATAGGAGAGATGTTGTGGTGTTTTTTTTTTTCTTTTGGCAAGCCTTTTCCGCCTGTAAGACCTGTCGCTAATGTCTGCATGCTATGTTTTCCTGTCTCATACAGCGCGATCGAGCGCCGAACGTGATCAAAATAAGCAGAAAAAAAGTATCGCGGACATAATTTATCATAACTCTGGTTTTATTTGGCCTATCAACACAATTTAAAAACTGGTATATAGGTTGAGGTCCTCACTTTTGAGATAAGTTGAAACGGAGAGTCAACGAGGCTCCGTCTTGCAGCTACATCCGGTTAAATATGTCATGTGACTTGAACGCACACACAGACACACACACACGCACACACACACACACACACACACACACACACACACACACACTCAGAGTCTGGTTTTTAGCACCTGCAAAAACATGCTATTTACATATTTGACAAGAATGCAGAGGCTCCTTTTGCCCCTGAAAAAAATCAAATTTCAAACACAATTTGACTGGTCATTTCTCCAAAAGACAACCATGAAGCTCCATCCAAACCTGAAGCAGGCAGTTGGTGCATGTGTACAGTAACCTGAGGGGAGTGAGGTGAGTGCTTCTGAGGAGAACATGAGCAGTGAAGATTCACCTTGGAGCTAGAACAGAGACATGCACATGATTATACAGGGGCAGGGGCTCAAGTTTTTTCCAGTCGTTTATACAATATGGAAATTAATGTGAAATTAAAACACAAAGTATTAATAGAAAGGTAATGACTGTCCTGTGTAGGTGACAGTGATATCCAATAGGCTAGGCACTCACGAGGCTGGCTGTGGCAAGTGTAAGTGAAAGCAACACGCACTGGCAGGAAGAACAGCAAACGCCGATGAAGGAAAAGGGTCTTTGCAGTGATGGGCGTTACCAGAGAGGGCGATGGCCAGAGGACACAAATGGGACGGGGAGGCAGCACGTTGGGGGGGGGGGGACGCGACACGGCTCGGGCCCGCCAGTGCCCCAACGGGGTCCTAGTTCTTTAGGGCCCGAGCGTAGCTGCTAAGCAGCTGCGAGAGCCCTCTTGTTCCTGCATGTTTCCTTCTTTAGGGCCCGAGCGTAGCTGCTAAGCAGCTGCGAGAGCCCTATTATTCCCCAAGGGGTTTTTCTTTGTTTCTTTCTTTCTTTCTTTCTTCTTTTTCCTCCCCTTTGAACTGGAAAATGGCCCACTTCCCACTGGCGAAAACTCAGGAAATTTGGCAGGACGACCGGGCCTGGTGAAAAATTCGATATTCTGAAGTCGCCCAAACAATAAAATGCAAAATGGCTCCATAGCGCCCCCTAAGGTGGAAATTCACACTATTGACTGTCACGCCTGTACGCTTTGTCATATTGACACAAAAATTGACACACATATGTATCTCAATAAGATCTACAAAAAAGTCAGTGCGGCCGTATCTGTCAAATGTACGGTTAAAGGGTTATTTCGCATTTTTTTCCGATCCGCACACATTGGAATTTCGCTAACTCCTCCGAAGGCTTTCGTTCCACCGGCACCACATTTGCTCAGGCATATCTACACCCCGTGGCCATTAAAAGTTATCAAAATCATGACGCTGCACCCCAAGGTTTAGGTTCTAGGGGGCGCCAAAGATAACACTAAAATCCACATATTTAAAAGTCTTATAACTTTTTATTTTTGTCCTCTCTGGCCTCCAAGTTTTCTAGGATGATGCAATGTCCAGCCATCAACACATTTGTGAAGGAATTTTTACTCCCCAAAAGAGCGCCCCCCCATGGCAGGAGAAAAAAGTCAATTTTTTCTTGTCCCCTAAGGTGAAAATACACACTATTGACTGTCACGCCTTTACGCTTTGTCAAAATGACACAAAAATTGACACACACATGTAACTCAATAAGATCTACAAAAAAGTCAGTGCGGGCGTATCTGTCAAATGTACGGTTAAAGGGTTATTCCGCATTTTTTGGCGATCCGCACACATTGGAATTTCGCTAACTCCTCCGAAGGCTTTCTTTCCACCGGCACCACATTTGCTCAGGCCAATCTACACCCCATGGCCATTAAAAGTTATTCAAATCATGACGCTGCACCCCACGGTTTAGGTTCTAGGGGGCGCCAAAGATAACCCTAAAATCCACATATTTAAAAGTCTTATAACTTTTTATTTTTGCCCTCACTGGCCTCCAAGTTTTCTAGGATGATGCAATGTCCAGCCATCAACACATTTGTGAAGGAATTTTTACTCCCCAAAAGAGCGCCCCCCCATGGCCGGAGAAAAAAGTCCATTTTTTCTTGTCCCCTAAGGTGAAAATACACATTGTTGAGTGTCACGCCTGTACGCTTTGTCATATTGACACAAAATTTGACACACACATGTATCTCAATAAGATCTACGAAAAAGTCAATGGGTGCGTATCTGTCAAATGTACGGTTAGAGGGCTATTTTGCATTTTTTGCCGATTCGCACACATTGGAATGTGGCTAACTCCTTCTAAGGCTTTCGTCCCACTAAAACCAAATTTACTCAGGCCAATCTACACCCCATGGCCATTCAAAGTTGTAAAAATCAGGACGCTGCACCCCACGGTTTACGTTCTAGGGGGCGCCAAAGATGACCAAAAAATCCACATTCTTAAAAGAATCCACATTCTCCCCCCCCCATGGCAGGAGAAAAAGTCAAGTTTTTCCTGCCCATCGCTCAATGGCTCAATCGCATCGCTCTCCAGGCAACACCATAACGAGGAGCAACCTGCCATTTGGATATATCCCAGCTGTGTTTGTGCCCTCACTCATGGTCCAGACTTTTTTCAAATAGGACATGAAGTTTGTCTGCAGCGAGTGTTTTGGTAGAAACTGCGCCTCCCATTCATTATAATGGGAAATGACCACAGACAAGTGCGCACACCATCTTTGGACCTTGAGTGTGACGCGATCGGGAGGGGGAGGCGGTCACGCTGGGGGCGGCACGACGCGGCTCGGGCCCGACAGTGCCCCACCGGGGCCCTAGTTTGTTATTATTAGGGCCCGAGCGTAGCTGCTAAGCAGCTGCGAGAGCCCTCTTGTTCCTGCATGTTTCCTTCTTTCGTTATTATTTTTCCTCCGCTTTAAACTGGAAAATGGCCCACTTCCCACTGGCGAAAACTCAGGATATTTGGCAGGACGACCGGGCCTGGTGAAAAATTCGATATTCTGAAGTCGCCCAAACAATAATATGCAAAATGGCTCCATAGCGCCCCCTAAGGTGAAAATTCACATGACGGCTGTACGCTTTGTCATATTGACACAAAAATTGACACACACATGTATCTCCATAAGATCTACAAAAAAGTCAGTGCGGGCGTATCTGTCAAATGTACGGTTAATGGGTTATTTTGCATTTTTTGCAGATCTGCACACATTGGAATTTCGCTAACTCCTCCGAAGGCTTTCGTTCGACCGGCACCACATTTGCGCAGGCCAATCTACCCCCCATGGCCATTAAAAGTTGTACAAATCATGACGCTGCACCCCACGGTTTAGGTTCTAGGGGGCGCCAAAGATAACCCAAAAATCCACATTCTTAAAAGTCTTATAACTTTTTACTTTTGTCCTCACTGGCCTCCAAGTTTTCTAGGATGATGCAATGTCCAGCCATCAACACATTTGTGAAGGAATTTTTACTCCCCAAAAGAGCGCCCCCCAATGGCAGGAGAAAAAGGTCCATTTTTTCTTGTCTCCTAAGGTGAAAATACACATTGTCGAGTGTCACGCCTGTATGCTTTGTCATATTGACACAAAATTTGACAATCACGTGTATCTCAATAAGATCTACGAAAAAGTCAAAGGGCATGTATCTGTCAAATGTACGGTTAAAGGGCTATTTTGCATTTTTTGCCGATCCGCACACATTGGAATTTCGCTAACTCCTCCGAAGGCTATCTTTCCACCGGCACCAAATTTGCTCAGGCCAATCTACACCCCATGGCCATTAAAAGTTGTACAAATCATCTTGCTGCACCACACGGTTTGGGTTCTAGGGGGCACCAAATATAACCCAAAAATCCACATTCTTAAAAGTCTTATAACTTTTTATTTTTTTCCATACTGGCCTCCAAGTTTTTTGGGATGATGCAATGTCCAGCCATCAACACATTTGTGAAGAAATTTTTACTCCCCAAAAGAGCGCCCCCCCCATGGCAGGAGAAAAAAGTCCATTTTTTCTTATCCCGAAAGGTGAAAATACACGTTGTTGAGTGTCACGCCTTTACGCTTTGTCATATTGACAAAAAATTTGAAAATCACGTGTATCTCAATAAGATCTATGAAAAAGTCAATGGGCACGTAAGTGTAAAATGTACAGTTAAAGGGCTATTTTGCATTTTTTGGCGATTCACACACATTGGAATGTGGCTAAGTCCTCCTAAGGCTTTCGTCCCACTGACACCAAATTTGCTCAGGCCAATCTACACCCCATGGCCATTAAAAGTTATTCAAATCATGACGCTGCACCCCACGGTTTAGGTTCTAGGGGGCGCCAAAGATAACCCTAAGATCCACATATTTAAAAGTCTTATAACTTTTTATTTTTGCCCTCACTGGCCTCCAAGTTTTCTAGGATGATGCAATGTCCAGCCATCAACACATTTGTGAAGGAATTTTTACTCCCCAAAAGAGCGCCCCCCCATGGCAGGAGAAAAAAGTCCATTTTTTCTTGTCCCCTAAGGTGAAAATACACATTGTTGAGTGTAACACCTGTACGCTTTGGCAAAATGACACAAAAATTGACACACACATGTATCTCAATAAGATCTTCGAAAAAGTCAATGGCCACGTATCTGCAAAATGTACGGTTAAAGGGTTATTTCGCATTTTTTGCAGATTCGCACACATTGGAATTTGGCTAACTCCTCCTAAGGCTTTCGTCCCACTGACACCAAATTTGCTCAGGCCAATCTACACCCCATGGCCATTCAAAGTTGTAAAAATCATGACGCTGCACCCCACGGTTTACGTTCTAGGGGGCGCCAAAGATGACCCAAAAATCCACATTCTTAAAAGAATCCACATCCCCCCCCCTATGGCAGGAGAAAAAGTCAAGTTTTTCCTGCCCATCGCTCAATGGCTCAATCGCATCGCTCTCCAGGCAACACCGTAAGGAGGAGCAACCTGGCATTTCGATATATCATAGCTGTGTTTGTGCCCTCACTCATGGTCCAGACTTTTTTCAAATAGGACATGAAGTTTGTCTGCAGCGAGTGTTTTGGTAGAAACTGCGCCTCCCATTCATTATAATGGGAAATGACCACAGACAAGTGCGCACACCATCTTTGGTTCTTGAGTGTGACTCGATCGGGCCCTAGTTATTAGGGCCCGAGCGTAGCTGCTAAGCAGCTGCGAGAGCCCTCTTGTTCCTGCATGTTTCCTTCTTTCGTTATTATTTTTCCTCCGCTTTAAACTGGAAAATGGCCCACTTCCCACTGGCGAAAACTCAGGAAATTTGGCAGGACGACCGGGCCTGGTGAAAAATTCGATATTCTGAAGTCGCCCAAACAATAAAATGCAAAATGGCTCCATAGCGCCCCCTAAGGTGAAAAAAATCCACATTCTTAAAAGTCATTTTGGCCACTGCAGGAGTACAGAGTACTGCAGTTCTAGGGGGCGCCAAAGATGACCCAAAAATCCACATTCTTAAAAGTCATTTTGGCCACTGCAGGAGTACAGAGTACTGCAGTTCTAGGGGGCGCCAAAGATGACCCAAAAATCCACATTCTTAAAAGTCTTTTTGGCCACTGCAGGAGTACAGAGTACTGCAGGATACACACACATACACACACACACACACACACACACACACACACACACACACACACACACACACACTCAGAGTCTGTTTTTTAGCACCTGCAAAAACATGCTGTTTACATATTTGACAAGAATGCAGAGGCTTCCTTTTGCCCCTGAAAAAAATCAGATTTCAAACACAACTTAACTGTTCATTTCTCCAAAAGACAACCATGAAGCTCCATCCAAACCTGAAGCAGATAGTTGGTGCATGTGTACAGTAACCTGAGGGGAGTGAGGTGACTATTTCTGAGGAGAACATGAGCAGTGAAGATTCACCTTGGAGCTAGAACAGGGACGTGCACATGATTATACAGGGGCAGGGGCTCAAGTTTTTTCCAGTCATTTATACAATATGGAAATTAATGTGAAATTAAACCACAAATATGTGTGATGAACTGTTTTTAAAACTTAAACTTCAAATAAAAATTGTAAACTTCAAAACATATGCAAATTTTTAACAAAGAACATAGTAATTTACCTCTATTTACATCAAAATGCAGGCAATGGCCCAGGCGTTCTTTGTAAAATTATTTACAAAACACTGTATAGTCTCACAAATGTCACTTTTTATTTATGCCACTACAAAAAAACATGATGTAAATGATGCATGATGTAAAACATAATGTAAAAAACTTGTGTAGATCCTCCTCTATGTCAGTCCATGTGTAATTTTTCCATAATTCTTTGTTTTTTGCAGCATTTTTGTTAGTGTAACTGCAGATTGTGCTGACAGTGTCTATGGCACAAAAAAAAAAAAAAAAATTTAAAATGCCTCAACATGAACCCCTGGTGGTCTCTGAGGGTGAAACCTGCTAACTGCTGCAGCTCTGTCAGCTTCAGTCTCCCATGCAGAGCTCTGAGCACATGTGTGGCTCTGCACCCTTAGCAGTGTTGCTAACTCCTCAGTAAGGAAAGCCTGCTTCATGTCAGAGTCTCTAAACTCCAGAAGAAGTCGATAAAAGTCCCTTTCTTTCTAAAAAAAAGTCGTTAGGGGGTCTGAAAAGTCATTGAATCTAACAACAAAGTCGCTAGGTTTGTAACTACGTGTCCCAGACTGCATCCCTGCTGAGAGTCCCTCCCTCCCTTCTCATGTTGCAGGAAGAACGTAAGCGCCCGCCCCTTGTCAATCAGTCACCATATAATTTTGGATTGGTTGTTGTGGTGAAGTTTTCCACCAATAGGAGAGATGTTGTAGTGTGTGTTTTTTTTTCTTTTGGCAAGCCTTTTCCGCCTGTAAGACCTGTCGCTAATGTGTGCATGCTATGTTTTCCTGTCTCATACAGCGCGATCGAGCGCCGAACGTGATCAAAATAAGCAGAAAAAAAGTATCGCGGACATAATTTATCATAACTCTGGTTTTATTTGGCCTATCAACACAATTTAAAAACTGGTATATAGGTTGAGGTGCTCACTTTTGAGATAAGTTGAAACGAAGAGTTAACGAGGCTCCGTCTTGCAGCTACATCCGGTTAAATATGTCATGTGACTTGAACGCTGGGGAGCGTCAATCGAATCGAATCAAACCTAACTCTCAGATGAATCTTCAAAATTCACCTCAGAAATATGCTGATTATTCTTCTCAGAGTACTGCAGGATACACACACACACACACACACACACACAGACACACACACACACACGCACACACACACACACACACACACACACACACACACTCAGAGTCTGTTTTTTAGCACCTGCAAAAACATGCTATATACATATTTGACAAGAATGCAGAGGCTTCCTTTTGCCCCTGAAAAAAATCAAATTTCAAACACAACTTGACTGCTCATTTCTCCAAAAGACAACCATGAAGCTCCATCCAAACCTGAAGCAGGCAGTTGGTGCATGTGTACAGTAACCTGAGGGGAGTGAGGTGACTGCTTCTGAGGAGAACATGAGCAGTGAAGATTCACCTTGGAGCTAGAACAGGGACGTGCACATGATTATACAGGGGCAGGGGCTCAAGTTTTTTCCAGTCGTTTATACAATATGGAAATTAATGTGAAACTAGGACCCCGTTGGGGCACTGGCGGGCCCGAGCCGTGTCGCGTCCCCCCCCCCCCAACGTGCTGCCTTCCTGTCCCATTTGTGTCCTCTGGCCATCGTCCTCTCTGGTAACGCCCATCACTGCAAAGACCCTTTTCCTTCATCGGCGTTTGCTGTTCTTCCTGCCAGTGCGTGTTGCTTTCACTTACACTTGCCACAGCCAGCCTCGTGAGTGCCTAGCCTATTGGATATCACTGTCACCTACACAGGACAGTCATTACCTTTCTATTAATACTTTGTGTTTTAATTTCACATTAATTTCCATATTGTATAAACGACTGGAAAAAACTTGAGCCCCTGCCCCTGTATAATCATGTGCATGTCTCTGTTCTAGCTCCAAGGTGAATCTTCACTGCTCATGTTCTCCTCAGAAGCACTCACCTCACTCCCCTCAGGTTACTGTACACATGCACCAACTGCCTGCTTCAGGTTTGGATGGAGCTTCATGGTTGTCTTTTGGAGAAATGAGCAGTCAAGTTGTGTTTGAAATTTGATTTTTTTCAGGGGCAAAAGGAGCCTCTGCATTCTTGTCAAATATGTAAATAGCATGTTTTTGCAGGTGCTAAAAACCAGACTCTGAGTGTGTGTGTGTGTGTGTGTGTGTGTGTGTGTGTGTGTGTGTGTGTGTGTGTGCGTGTGTGTGTGTCTGTGTGTGCGTTCAAGTCACATGACATATTTAACCGGATGTAGCTGCAAGACGGAGCCTCGTTGACTCTCCGTTTCAACTTATCTCAAAAGTGAGGACCTCAACCTATATACCAGTTTTTAAATTGTGTTGATAGGCCAAATAAAACCAGAGTTATGATAAATTATGTCCGCGATACTTTTTTTCTGCTTATTTTGATCACGTTCGGCGCTCGATCGCGCTGTATGAGACAGGAAAACATAGCATGCAGACATTAGCGACAGGTCTTACAGGCGGAAAAGGCTTGCCAAAAGAAAAAAAAAACACACCACAACATCTCTCCTATTGGTGGAAAACTTCACCACAACAACCAATCCAAAATTATATGGTGACTGATTGACAAGGGGCGGGCGCTTACGTTCTTCCTGCAACATGAGAAACGAGGGAGGGACTCTCAGCAGGGATGCAGTCTGGGACACGTAGTTGCAAACCTAGCGACTTTGTAGTTAGATTCAATGACTTTTCAGACCCCCTAACGACTTTTTTTTAGAAAGAAAGGGACTTTTATCGACTTCTTCTGGAGTTTAGAGACTCTGACATGAAGCAGGCTTTCCTTACTGAGGAGTTAGCAACGCTGCTAAGGGTGCAGAGCCACACATGCGCTCAGAGCTCTGCATGGGAGACTGAAGCTGACAGAGCTGCAGCAGTTAGCAGGTTTCACCCTCAGAGACCACCAAGGGTTCATGTTGAGGCATTTTAATTTCTTTTTTTTTTGTGCCATAGACACTGTCAGCACAATCTGCAGTTACACTAACAAAAATGCTGCAAAAAACAAAGAATTATGGAAAAATTACACATGGACTGACATAGAGGAGGATCTACACAAGTTTTTTACATCATGTTTTACATCATGCATCATTTACATCATGTTTTTTTGTAGTGGCATAAATAAAAAGTGACATTTGTGAGACTATACAGTGTTTTGTAAATAATTTTACAAAGAACGCCTGGGCCATTGCCTGCATTTTGATGTAAATAGAGGTAAATCACTATGTTCTTTGTTTAAAATTTGCATATGTTTTGAAGTTTACAATTTTTATTTGAAGTTCAAGTTTTAAAAACAGTTCATCACACATATTTGTGGTTTTCACAGTAAAAATGTTACTTTTTTCCACTCGGATTTTATGTTTTGTGTGTGAATTTGGGTCCATTGTGTAAATTCAGTATGTCAACATGATAAAATAACTGTAAATTCGCACAGGTGAGGTTGTGCTGAAAAAAATGATACCAGGCAAGGCACGTGATTGTCAAATTTTGTGTCAATATGACAAAGCGTATAGGCGTGAATCTCAACAATATGTATTTTCACCTTAGGGGACAAGAAAAAATGGACTTTTTTCTCCTGCCATGGGGGGGGGGGCGCTCTTTTGGGGAGTAAAAATTCCTTCACAAATGTGTTGATGGCTGGACATTGCATCATCCTAGAAAACTTGGAGGCCAGTGAGGACAAAAATAAAAAGTTATAAGACTTTTAAATATGTGGATTTTAGGGTTATCTTTGGCGCCCCCTAGAACCTAAACCGTGGGGTGCAGCGTCATGATTTGAATAACTTTTAATGGCCATGGGGTGTAGATTGGCCTGAGCAAATGTGGTGCCGGTGGAACGAAAGCCTTAGGAGGAGTTAGCCACATTCCAATGTGTGCGGATCGGCAAAAAATAAGGAATAACCCTTTAACCGTACATTTGACAGATACGCGCGCATTGACTTTTTCGTAGATCTTATTGAGTTACATGTGTGTGTCAATTTTTGTGTCATTTTGACAAAGCGTATAGGCGTGACACTCAACAATGTGTATTTTCACCTTAGGGGACAAGAAAAAATGGACTTTTTTCTCCTGCCATGGGGGGCGCTCTTTTGGGGAGTAAAAATTCCTTCACAAATGTGTTGATGGCTGGACATTGCATCATCCTAGAAAACTTGGAGGCCAGTGAGGACAAAAATAAAAAGTTATAAGACTTTTAAATATGTGGATTTTAGTGTTATCTTTGGCGCCCCCTAGAACCTAAACCTTGGGGTGCAGCGTCATGATTTTGATAACTTTTAATGGCCACGGGGTGTAGATTGGCCTGAGCAAATGTGGTGCCGGTGGAACGAAAGCCTTCGGAGGAGTTAGCGAAATTCCAATGTGTGCGGATCGGCAAAAAATGCGAAATAACCCTTTAACCGTAATTTTGACAGATACGGCCGCACTGACTTTTTTGTAGATCTTATTGAGATACATATGTGTGTCAATTTTTGTGTCAATATGACAAAGCGTACAGGCGTGACAGTCAATAGTGTGAATTTCCACCTTAGGGGGCGCTATGGAGCCATTTTGCATTTTATTGTTTGGGCGACTTCAGAATATCGAATTTTTCACCAGGCCCGGTCATCCTGCCAAATTTCATGAGTTTTCGCCAGTGGGAAGTGGGCCATTTTCCAGTTCAAAGGGGAGGAAAAAGAAGAAAGAAAGAAAGAAAGAAAGAAAGAAAGAAACAAAGAAAAACCACTTGGGGAATAATAGGGCCTACGCCCGGCTGCTCTGCAGCTGGCTCGGGCCCTAATTACAAAACAAAGTATGACTGTCCTGTGTAGGTGACAGTGATATCCAATAGGCTAGGCACTCACGAGGCTGGCTGTGGCAAGTGTTCTTTTTCCTCCCCTTTGAACTGGAAAATGGCCCACTTCCCACTGGCGAAAACTCATGAAATTTGGCAGGATGACCGGGCCTGGTGAAAAATTTGATATTCCGAAGTCGCCCAAACAAGAAAATGCAAAATGGCTCCATAGCGCCCCCTAAGGTGGAAATTCACACTATTGACTGTCACGCCTTTACGCTTTGTCAAAATGACACAAAAATTGACACACATATGTATCTCAATAAGATCTACAAAAAAGTCAGTGCGGGCGTATCTGTCAAATGTACGGTTAATGGGTTATTCCGCATTTTTTGCCGATTCGCACACATTGGAATTTCGCTAACTCCTCCTAAGGCTGGCTTTCCACCGGCACCACATTTGCTCAGGCCAATCTACACCCCATGGCCATTAAAAGTTATTCAAATCATGACGCTGCACCCCACGGTTTAGGTTCTAGGGGGCGCCAAAGATAACCCTAAAATCCACATATTTCAAAGTCTTATAACTTTTTATTTTTGTCCTCACTGGCCTCCAAGTTTTCTAGGATGATGCAATGTCCAGCCATCAACACATTTGTGAAGGAATTTTTACTCCCCAAAAGAGCGCCCCCCCCATGGCAGGAGAAAAAAGTCCATTTTTTCTTGTCCCATAAGGTGAAAAAACACATTGTTGACTGTCATACCTGTACGCTTTGTCATATTGACACAAAATTTGACAATCACATGTATCTCAATAAGATCTACGAAAAAGTCAATGGGCGCGTATCTGTAAAATGTACGGTTAAAGGGCTATTTTGCATTTTTTGCCGATTCGCACACATTGGAATGTGGCTAACTCCTCCTAAGGCTTTCGTCCCACTGACACCAAATTTGCTCAGGCCAATCTACACCCCATGGCCATTCAAAGTTGTAAAAATCATGACGCTGCACCCCACGGTTTACGTTCTAGGGGGCGCCAAAGATGACCAAAATATCCACATTCTTAAAAGAATCCGCATCCCCCCCCCCCATCCCCCAACCCCCAACCCCCAACCCCCAACCCCCATGGCAGGAGAAACAGTCAAGTTTTTCCTGCCCATCACTCAATGGCTCAATCGCATCACTCTCCCAGCAACACCGTAACGAGGAGCAACTTGCCATTTGGATATATCCTAGCTGTGTTTGTGCCCTCACTCATGGTCCAGACTTTTTTCAAATAGGACATGTAGTTTGTCTGCAGCGAGTGTTTTGGTAGAAACTGCGCCTCCCATTCATTATAATGGGAAATGACCACAGACAAGTGCGCACACCATCTTTGGACCTTTAGTGTGACGCGATCGGGAGGGGGAGGCGGTCGCGCTGGGGGCGGCGCAACGTGGCTCGGGCCCGACAGTGCCCCACCGGGGCCCTAGTTATTATTTTTCCTCCCCTTTGAACTGGAAAATGGCCCACTTCCCACTGGCGAAAACTCATGAAATTTGGCAGGACGACCGGGCCTGGTGAAAAATTTGATATTCCGAAGTCGCCCAAACAAGAAAATGCAAAATGGCTCCATAGCGCCCCCTAAGGTGAAAATTCACACTATTGACTGTCACGCCTGTACGCTTTGTCAAAATGACACAAAAATTGACACACACATGTATCTCAATAAGATCTACAAAAAAGTCAGTGCGGGCGTATCTGTCAAATGTACGGTTAAAGGGTTATTTCGCATTTTTTGCCGATCCGCACACATTGGAATTTCGCTAACTCCTCCGAAGGCTTTCGTTCCACCGGCACCACATTTGCTCAGGCCAATCTACACCCCATGGCCATTAAAAGTTATTCAAATCATGACGCTGCACCCCACGGTTTAGGTTCTAGGGGGCGCCAAAGATAACCCAAAAATCCACATTTTTAAAAGTCTTATAACTTTTTATTTTTGTCCTCACTGGCCTCCAAGTTTTCTAGGATGATGCAATGTCCAGCCATCAACACATTTGTGAAGGAATTTTTACTCCCCAAAAGAGCGCCCCCCCATGGCAGGAGAAAAAAGTCCATTTTTTCTTGTCCCCTAAGGTGAAAATACACATTGTTGACTGTCACGCCTGTACGCTTTGGCAAAATGACACAAAAATTGACAATCATGTGTATCTCAATTAGATCTACGAAAAAGTCAAAGAGCGCGTATCTGTATAATGTACGGTAAAAGGGCTATTTTGCATTTTTTGCTGATTCGCACACATTGGAATTTCGCTAACTCCTCCTAAGGCTTTCGTCCCACTGACACCAAATTTGCTCAGGCCAATCTACACTCCATGGCCATTCAAAGTTGTAAAAATCATGACGCTGCACCCCACGGTTTACGTTTTAGGGGGCGCCAAAGATGACCCAAATATACATTACAGTAGACAAAGTAGTTTTGCCCACTGAGTGGCGCCAAAGGGACTTGTCTGTGGAGTCTGTGAGTCACTATTGGCCGTTTTTGACTACTTTAGATTTTACCTTTATATTTCCTCTTACAAAATTTTTACCTTGCCTTGCCTGGTATCATTTTTTTCAGCACAACCTCACCTGTGTCAATTTACAGTTATTTTATCATTTTGACATACTATATTTACACATTGGACCCAAATTCACACACAAAACATAAAATCCGAGTGGAAAAAAGTAACGTTTTTACTGTGAAAACCACAAATATGTGTGATGAACTGTTTTTAAAACTTAAACTTCAAATAAAAATTGTAAACTTCAAAACATATGCAAATTTTTAACAAAGAACATAGTAATTTACCTCTATTTACATCAAAATGCAGGCAATGGCCCAGGTGTTCTTTGTAAAATTATTTACAAAACACTGTATAGTCTCACAAATGTCACTTTTTATTTATGCCACTACAAAAAAACATGATGTAAATGATGCATGATGTAAAACATGATGTAAAAAACTTGTGTAGATCCTCCTCTATGTTAGTCCATGTGTAATTTTTCCATAATTCTTTGTTTTTTGCAGCATTTTTGTTAGTGTAACTGCAGATTGTGCTGACAGTGTCTATGGCAAAAAAAAAAAAAAAAAACTGAAAATGCCTCAACATGAACCCCTGGTGGTCTCTGAGGGTGAAACCTGCTAACTGCTGCAGCTCTGTCAGCTTCAGTCTCCCATGCAGAGCTCGGAGCGCATGTGTGGCTCTGCACCCTTAGCAGCGTTGCTAACTCCTCAGTAAGGAAAGCCTGCTTCATGTCAGAGTCTCTAAACTCCAGAAGAAGTCGATAAAAGTCACTTTCTTTCTAAAAAAAAGTCGTTAGGGGGTCTGAAAAGTCATTGAATCTAACAACAAAGTCGCTAGGTTTGCAACTACGTGTCCCAGACTGCATCCCTGCTGAGAGTCCCTCCCTCCCTTCTCATATTGCAGGAAGAACGTAAGTTCCCGCCCCTTGTCAATCAGTCACCATATAATTTTGGATTGGTTGTTGTGGTGAAGTTTTCCACCAATAGGAGAGATGTTGTGGTGTGTATTTTTTTTCCTTTGGCAAGCCTTTTCCGCCTGTAAGACCTGTCGCTAATGTCTGCATGCTATGTTTTCCTGTCTCATACAGCGCGATCGAGCGCCGAACGTGATCAAAATAAGCAGAAAACAAGTATCGCGGACATAATTTATCATAACTCTGGTTTTATTTGGCCTATCAACACAATTTAAAAACTGGTATATAGGTTGAGGTCCTCACTTTTGAGATAAATTGAAACGGAGAGTCAACGAGGCTCCGTCTTGCAGCTACATCCGGTTAAATATGTCATGTGACTTGAACGCACACACACACACACACACAGACACACACACACACGCACACACACACACTCAGAGTCTGGTTTTTAGCACCTGCAAAAACATGCTATTTACATATTTGACAAGAATGCAGAGGCTCCTTTTGCCCCTGAAAAAAATCTAATTTCAAACACAACTTGACTGGTCATTTCTCCAAAAAAAACCATGAAGCTCCATCCAAACCTGAAGCAGGCAGTTGGTGCATGTGTACAGTAACCTGAGGGGAGTGAGGTGACTGCTTCTGAGGAGAACATGAGCAGTGAAGATTCACCTTAGAGCTAGAACAGAGACGTGCACATGATTATACAGGGGCAGGGGCTCAAGTTTTTTCCAGTTGTTTATACAATATGGAAATTAATGTGAAATTAAAAAACAAAGTATTAATAGAAAGGTAATGACTGTCCTGTGTAGGTGACAGTGATATCCAATAGGCTAGGCACTCAAGAGGCTGGCTGTGGCAAGTGTAAGTGAAAGCAACACGCACTGGCAGGAAGAACAGCAAACGCCGATGAAGGAAAAGGGTCTTTGCAGTGATGGGCGTTACCAGAGAGGGCGATGGCCAGAGGACACAAATGGGAAGGGAAGGCAGCACGTTGGGGGGGGGGGGACGCGACACGGCTCGGGCCCGCCAGTGCCCCAACGGGGTCCTAGTTAGGGCCCGAGCGTAGCTGCTAAGCAGCTGCGAGAGCCCTATTATTCCTGATGGATTCTTCTTTCTTCTTCTTCTTCTTATTATTTTTCTGCCCCTTTGAACTGGAAAATGGCCCACTTCCCACTGGTGAAAACTCATGAAATTTGGCAGGACGACCGGGCCTGGTGAAAAATTCGATATTCTGAAGTCGCCCAAAAAATCAAATGCAAAATGGCTCCATAGCGCCCCCTAAGGTGAAAAATTCACATGATTGAGTGTCACGCCTGTACGCTTTGTCATATTGACACAAAAATTGACACACACATGTATCTCAATAAGATCTACAAAAAAGTCAGTGCGGGCGTATCTGTCAAATGTACGGTTAAAGGGCTATTTCGCATTTTTTGCCGATCCGCACACATTGGAATTTCGCTAACTCCTCCGAAGGCTTTCGTTCCACCGGCACCAAATTTGCTCAGGCCAATCTACACCCCATGGCCATTAAAAGTTGTACAAATCATGACGCTGCATCCTACGGTTTACGTTCTAGGGGGCGCCAAAGATAACCCAGAAATCCACATTCTTAAAAGTCGTATAACTTTTTATTTTTGTCCTCACTGGCCTCCAAGTTTTCTAGGATGATGCAATGTCCAGCCATCAACACATTTGTGAAGGAATTTTTACTCCCCAAAAGAGCGCCCCCCCATGGCAGGAGAAAAAAGTCAATTTTTTCTTGTCTCCTAAGGCGAAAATTCACACTATTGACTGTCACGCCTTTACGCTTTGTCATATTGACACAAAAATTGACACACACATGTATCTCAATAAGATCTACAAAAAAGTCAGTGCGGGCGTATCTGTCAAATGTACGGTGAAAGGGCTATTTCGCATTTTTTGCCGATCCGCACACATTGGAATTTCGCTAACTCCTCCGAAGGCTTTCGTTCCAAAGGCACCACATTTGCTGAGGCCAATCTACACCCCATGGCCATTAAAAGTTGTACAAATCATGATGCTGCACCCCACGGTTTACGTTCTAGGGGGCGCCAAAGATAACCCAAAAATCCACAGTCTTAAAAGTCTTATAACTTTTTATTTTTGTCCTCACTGGCCTCCAAGTTCTCTAGGATGATGCAATGTCCAGCCATCAACACATTTGTGAAGGAATTTTTACTCGCCAAAAGAGCGCCCCCCCATGGCAGGAGAAAAAAGTCCATTTTTTCTTGTCTCCTAAGGCGAAAATACACATTGTTGACTGTCACGCCTTTACGCTTTGTCAAAATGACACAAAATTTGACACACACATGTATCTCAATAAGATCTACAAAAAAGTCAGTGCGGGCGTATCTGTCAAATGTACGGTTAAAGGGTTATTTCGCATTTTTTGCCGATCCGCACACATTGGAATTTCGCTAACTCCTCCTAAATCTTTTGTCCCATCGGCTTCAAATTTGCTCAGGTCAATCTACACCCCATGGCCATTCAAAGTTGTACAAATCATGACGCTGCACCCCACAGTTTACGTTCTAGGGGGCGCCAAAGAGGACCCAAATATCCACATTTTTAAAAGTCTTATAACTTTTTATTTTTGTCCTCACTGGCCTCCAAGTTTTCTAGGATGATGCAATGTCCAGCCATCAACACATTTGTGAAGGAATTTTTTCTCCCCAAAAGAGCGCCCCCCCATGGCAGGAGAAAAAGTCAAGTTTTTCCTGCCCATCGCTCAATGGCTCAAACGCATCGCTCTCTCTGCAAAACCGAAAGGAGGAGCAACTTGCCATTTGGATATATACTAGCTGTGTTTGTGCCCTCACTCATGGTCCAGACTTTTTTCAAATAGGACATGTAGTTTGTCTGCAGCAAGCGTTTTGGTAGAAACTGCGCCTCCCATTAATTATAATGGGAAATGACCACAGACAAGTGCGCACACCATCTTTGGACCTTGAGTGTGACGCGATCGGGAGGGGGAGGCGGTCGCGCTGGGGGCGGCGCGACGCGGCTCGGGCCCGACAGTGCCCCACCGGGGCCCTAGTCTTATTTTTCCTCCCCTTTGAAGGGGAAAATGGCCCACTTCCCACTGGCGAAAACTCATGAAATTTGGCAGGACGAATGGGCCTGGTGAAAAATTCGATATTCTGAAGTCGCCCAAACAATAAAATGCAAAATGGCTCCATAGCGCCCCCTAAGGTGAAAATTCACACTATTGACTGTCACGCCTTTACGCTTTGTCATATTGACACAAAAATTGACACACACATGTATCTCAATAAGATCTACAAAAAAGTCAGTGCGAGCGTATCTGTCAAATGTACGGTTAAAGGGTTATTTCGCATTTTTTGCCGATCCGCACACATTGGAATTTCGCTAACTCCTCCGAAGGCTTTCGTTCCACCGGCACCACATTTGCTCAGGCCAATCTACACCCCATGGCCATTAAAAGTTGTACAAATCATGACGCTGCACCCCACGGTTTACGTTCTAGGGGGCGCCAAAGATAACCCAAAAATCCACAGTCTTAAAAGTCTTATAACTTTTTATTTTTGTCCTCACTGGCCTCCAAGTTCTCTAGGATGATGCAATGTCCAGCCATCAACACATTTGTGAAGGAATTTTTACTCGCCAAAAGAGCGCCCCCCATGGCAGGAGAAAAAAGTCCATTTTTTCTTGTCTCCTAAGGCGAAAATTCACACTATTGACTGTCACGCCTTTACGCTTTGTCATATTGACACAAAAATTGACACACACATGTATCTCAATAAGATCTACAAAAAAGTCAGTGCGAGCGTATCTGTCAAATGTACGGTTAAAGGGCTATTTCGCATTTTTTGCCGATCCGCACACATTGGAATTTCGCTAACTCCTCCGAAGGCTTTCGTTCCAAAGGCACCACATTTGCTCAGGCCAATCTACACCCCATGGCCATTAAAAGTTGTACAAATCATGACGCTGCACCCCACGGTTTACGTTCTAGGGGGCGCCAAAGATAACCCAAAAATCCACAGTCTTAAAAGTCTTATAACTTTTTATTTTTGTCCTCACTGGCCTCCAAGTTCTCTAGGATGATGCAATGTCCAGCCATCAACACATTTGTGAAGGAATTTTTACTCGCCAAAAGAGCGCCCCCCATGGCAGGAGAAAAAAGTCCATTTTTTCTTGTCTCCTAAGGCGAAAATACACATTGTTGACTGTCACGCCTTTACGCTTTGTCAAAATGACACAAAATTTGACACACACATGTATCTCAATAAGATCTACGAAAAAGTCAATGCGAGCGTATCTGTTCAATGTACGGTTAAAGGGCTATTTCGCATTTTTTGCTGATTCGCACACATTGGAATGTGGCTAACTCCTCCTAAATCTTTTGTCCCATCGGCTTCAAATTTGCTCAGGTCAATCTACACCCCATGGCCATTCAAAGTTGTACAAATCATGACGCTGCACCCCACAGTTTACGTTCTAGGGGGCGCCAAAGAGGACCCAAATATCCACATTTTTAAAAGTCTTATAACTTTTTATTTTTGTCCTCACTGGCCTCCAAGTTTTCTAGGATGATGCAATGTCCAGCCATCAACACATTTGTGAAGGAATTTTTTCTCCCCAAAAGAGCGCCCCCCATGGCAGGAGAAAAAGTCAAGTTTTTCCTGCCCATCGCTCAATGGCTCAAACGCATCGCTCTCTCTGCAAAACCGAAAGGAGGAGCAACTTGCCATTTGGATATATACTAGCTGTGTTTGTGCCCTCACTCATGGTCCAGACTTTTTTCAAAAAGGACATGGAGTTTGTCTGCAGCGAGCGTTTTGGTAGAAACTGCGCCTCCCATTCATTATAATGGTAAATGACCACAGACAAGTGCGCACACCATCTTTGGACCTTGAGTGTGACGCGATCGGGAGGGGTAGGCGGTCGCGCTGGGGGCGGCGCGACACGGCTCGGGCCCGCCAGTGCCCCAACGGGGCCCTAGTTCTTTCTTTCTTTCTTCTTTTTCCTCCCCTTTGAACTGGAAAATGGCCCACTTCCCACTGGCGAAAACTCATGAAATTTGGCAGGACGACCGGGCCTGGTGAAAAATTCGATATTCTGAAGTCGCCCAAACAATAAAATGCAAAATGGCTCCATAGCGCCCCCTAAGGTGGAAATTCACACTATTGACTGTCACGCCTGTACGCTTTGTCATATTGACACAAAAATTGACACACATATGTATCTCAATAAGATCTACAAAAAAGTCAGTGCGGCCGTATCTGTCAAAATTACGGTTAAAGGGTTATTTCGCATTTTTTGCCGATCCGCACACATTGGAATTTCGCTAACTCCTCCGAAGGCTTTCGTTCCACCGGCACCACATTTGCTCAGGCCAATCTACACCCCGTGGCCATTAAAAGTTATCAAAATCATGACGCTGCACCGCAAGGTTTAGGTTCTAGGGGGCGCCAAAGATAACACTAAAATCCACATATTTAAAAGTCTTATAACTTTTTATTTTTATCCTCACTGGCCTCCAAGTTTTCTAGGATGATGCAATGTCCAGCCATCAACACATTTGTGAAGGAATTTTTACTCCCCAAAAGAGCGCCCCCCATGGCAGGAGAAAAAAGTCAATTTTTTCTTGTCCCCTAAGGTGAAAATACACATTGTTGAGTGTCACGCCTATACGCTTTGTCAAAATGACACAAAAATTGACACACACTTGTAACTCAATAAGATCTACAAAAAAGTCCATGCGCGCGTATCTGTCAAATGTACAGTTAAAGGGTTATTCCGCATTTTTTGCCGATACGCACACATTGGAATTTCGCTAACTCCTCCGAAGGCTTTCGTTCCACCGGCACCACATTTGCTCAGGCCAATCTACACCCCATGGCCATTAAAAGTTATTCAAATCATGATGCTGCACCCCATGGTTTAGGTTCTAGGGGGCGCCAAAAATAACCCAAAAATCCACATTCTTAAATGTTTTATAACTTTTTATTTTTGTCCTCACTGGCCTCCAAGTTTTCTAGGATGATGCAATGTCCAGCCATCAACACATTTGTGAAGGAATTTTTACTCCCCAAAAGAGCGCCCCCCCATGGTAGGAGAAAAAAGTCAATTTTTTCTTGTCCCCTTACATAAAAATACACATTGTTGAGTGTCACGCCTGAACGCTTTGTCATATTGACACAAAAATTGACAATCATGTGTATCTCAATTAGATCTACGAAAAAGTCAAAGAGCGCGTATCTGTATAATGTACGGTTAAAGGGCTATTTTGCATTTTTTGCCGATTCGCACACATTGGAATGTGGCTATCTCCTCCTAAGGCTTTCGTCCCACCGATACCAAATTTGCTCAGGGCAATCTACACCCCATGCCCATTCAAAGTTGTAAAAATCATGACGCTGCACCCCACGGTTTACGTTCTAGGGGGCGCCAAAGATGACCCAAAAATCCACATTCTTAAAAGTCATTTTGGCCACTGCAGGAGTACAGAGTACTGCAGTTCTAGGGGGCGCCAAAGATGACCCAAAAATCCACATTCTTAAAAGTCTTTTTGGCCACTGCAGGAGTACAGAGTACTGCAGGATACACACACATATACACACACGCCAACATACACACACACACACACACACACACACACACACACACACACACACACACACACACACACAGACACACACACACACTCAGAGTCTGTTTTTTAGCACCTGCAAAAACATGCTGTTTACATATTTGACAAGAATGCAGAGGCTTCCTTTTGCCCCTGAAAAAAATCAAATTTCAAACACAACTTGACTGTTCATTTCTCCAAAAGACAACCATGAAGCTCCATTTCAAACCTGAAGCAGATAGTTGGTGCATGTGTACAGTAACCTGAGGGGAGTGAGGTGACTATTTCTGAGGAGAACATGAGCAGTGAAGATTCACCTTGGAGCTAGAACAGGGACGTGCACATGATTATACAGGGGCAGGGGCTCAAGTTTTTTCCAGTCATTTATACAATATGGAAATTAATGTGAAATTAAACCACAAATATGTGTGATGAACTGTTTTTAAAACTTAAACTTCAAATAAAAATTGTAAACTTCAAAACATATGCAAATTTTTAACAAAGAACATAGTAATTTACCTCTATTTACATCAAAATGCAGGCAATGGCCCAGGCGTTCTTTGTAAAATTATTTACAAAACACTGTATAGTCTCACAAATGTCACTTTTTATTTATGCCACTACAAAAAAACATGATATAAATGATGCATGATGTAAAACATGATGTAAAAAACTTGTGTAGATCCTCCTCTATGTCAGTCCATGTGTAATTTTTCCATAATTCTTTGTTTTTTGCAGCATTTTTGTTAGTGTAACTGCAGATTGTGCTGACAGTGTCTATGGCACAAAAAAAAAAAAATAATAAAATGCCTCAACATGAACCCCTGGTGGTCTCTGAGGGTGAAACCTGCTAACTGCTGCAGCTCTGTCAGCTTCAGTCTCCCATGCAGAGCTCTGAGCGCATGTGTGGCTTGCACCCTTAGCAGCGTTGCTAACTCCTCAGTAAGGAAAGCCTGCTTCATGTCAGAGTCTCTAAACTCCAGAAGAAGTCGCCAAAAGTCACTTTCTTTCTAAAAAAAAGTCGTTAGGGGGTCTGAAAAGTCATTGAATCTAACAACAAAGTCGCTAGGTTTGCAACTACGTGTCCCAGACTGCATCCCTGCTGAGAGTCCCTCCCTCCCTTCTCATGTTGCAGGAAGAACGTAAGCGCCCGCCCCTTGTCAATCAGTCACCATATAATTTTGGATTGGTTGTTGTGGTGAAGTTTTCCACCAATAGGAGAGATGTTGTGGTGTGTTTTTTTTTTCTTTTGGCAAGCCTTTTCCGCCTGTAAGACCTGTCGCTAATGTCTGCATGCTATGTTTTCCTGTCTCATACAGCGCGATCAAGCGCCGAACGTGATCAAAATAAGCAGAAAACAAGTATCGCGGACATAATTTATCATAACTCTGGTTTTATTTGGCCTATCAACACAATTTAAAAACTGGTATATAGGTTGAGGTCCTCACTTTTGAGATAAGTTGAAACGGAGAGTCAACGAGGCTCCGTCTTGCAGCTACATCCGGTTAAATATGTCATGTGACTTGAACGCACACATAGACACACACACACGCACACACACACACACACACACACACACACACACACACACACACACACTCAGAGTCTGGTTTTTAGCACCTGCAAAAACATGCTATTTACATATTTGACAAGAATGCAGAGGCTCCTTTTGCCCCTGAAAAAAATCAAATTTCAAACACAACTTGACTGGTCATTTCTCCAAAAGACAACCATGAAGCTCCATCCAAACCTGAAGCAGGCAGTTGGTGCATGTGTACAGTAACCTGAGGGGAGTGAGGTGAGTGCTTCTGAGGAGAACATGAGCAGCAAAGATTCACCTTGGAGCTAGAACAGAGACATGCACATGATTATACAGGGGCAGGGGCTCAAGTTTTTTCCAGTCGTCTATACAATATGGAAATTAATGTGAAATTAAAACACAAAGTATTAATAGAAAGGTAATGACTGTCCTGTGTAGGTGACAGTGATATCCAATAGGCTAGGCACTCACGAGGCTGGCTGTGGCAAGTGTAAGTGAAAGCAACACGCACTGGCAGGAAGAACAGCAAACGCCGATGAAGGAAAAGGGTCTTTGCAGTGATGGGCGTTAACAGAGAGGGCGATGGCCAGAGGACACAAATGGGACGGGAAGGCAGCACGTTGGGGGGGGGGGGGGGGGGAGACGCGACACGGCTCGGGCCCGCCAGTGCCCCAACGGGGTCCTAGTTCTTTGTTTCTTTCTTTCTTTTTAGGGCCCGAGCGTAGCTGCTAAGCAGCTGCGAGAGCCCTCTTGTTCCTGATGGATTCTTCTTTCGTTATTTTTCCTCCGCTTTAAACTGGAAAATGGCCCACTTCCCACTGGCGAAAACTCAGGAAATTTGGCAGGACGACCGGGCCTGGTGAAAAATTCGATATTCTGAAGTCGCCCAAACAAAAAAATGAAAAATGGCTCCATAGCGCCCCCTATGGTGAAAACTCACCTGACGCCTGTACGCTTTGTCAAAATGACACAAAAATTGACACACATGTGTATCTCAATAAGATCTACAAAAAAGTCAGTGTGGGCGTATCTGTCAAATGTACCGTTAAAGGGCTATTTCGCATTTTTTGCCGATCAGCACACATTGGAATTTCGCTAACTCCTCCGAAGGCTTTCGTTCCACCGGCAACAAATTTGCTCAGGACAATCTACACCCCATGGCCATTAAAAGTTGTACAAATCATGACTCTGCACCCCACGGTTTACATTCTAGGGGGCGCCAAAGATAACCCTAAAATCCACAGTCTTAAAAGTCTTATAACTTTTTATTGTTGTCCTCACTGGCCTCCAAGTTTTCTAGGATGATGCAATGTCCAGCCATCAACACATTTGTGAAGAAATTTTTACTCCCCAAAAGAGCGCCCCCCCATGGCAGGAGAAAAAAGTCCATTTTTTCTTGTCCCCTAAGGTGAAAATACACATTGTTGAGTGTCACGCCTGAACGCTTTGTCATATTGACACAAAATTTGACACACACGTGTATCTCAATAAGATCTACGAAAAAGTCAAAGAGCGCATATCTGTATAATGTACGGTTAAAGGGCTATTTCACATTTTTTGCCGATCCGCACACATTGGAATTTCGCTAACTCCTCCGAAGGCTTTCGTTCCACCGGCACCATATTTGCTCAGGCCAATCTACACCCCATGGCCATTAAAAGTTGTACAAATCATGACGCTGCACCCCACGGTTTAGGTTCTAGGGGGCGCCAAAAATAACCCAAAAATCCACATTCTTAAATGTTTTATAACTTTTTATTTTGTCCTCACTGGCCTCCAAGTTTTCTAGGATGATGCAATGTCCAGCCATCCACACATTTGTGAAGGAATTTTTACTCCCCAAAAGAGCGCCCCCCCATGGCAGGAGAAAAAAGTCAATTTTTTCTTGTCCCCTTACATGAAAATACACATTGTTGAGTGTCACGCCTGAACGCTTTGTCATATTGACACAAAAATTGACAATCATATGTATCTCAATTAGATCTACGAAAAAGTCAAAGAGCGCGTATCTGTATAATGTACGGTTAAAGGGCTATTTTGCATTTTTTGCCGATTCGCACACATTGGAATGTGGCTATCTCCTCCTAAGGCTTTCGTCCCACCGATACCAAATTTGCTCAGGGCAATCTACACCCCATGCCCATTCAAAGTTGTAAAAATCATGACGCTGCACCCCACGGTTTACGTTCTAGGGGGCGCCAAAGATGACCCAAAAATCCACATTCTTAAAAGTCATTTTGGCCACTGCAGGAGTACAGAGTACTGCAGTTCTAGGGGGCGCCAAAGATGACCCAAAAATCCACATTCTTAAAAGTCTTTTTGGCCACTGCAGGAGTACAGAGTACTGCAGGATACACACACATATACACACACGCCAACATACACACACACACACACACACACACACACACACACACAGACACACACACACACACACACACTCAGAGTCTGTTTTTTAGCACCTGCAAAAACATGCTGTTTACATATTTGACAAGAATGCAGAGGCTTCCTTTTGCCCCTGAAAAAAATCAAATTTCAAACACAACTTGACTGTTCATTTCTCCAAAAGACAACCATGAAGCTCCATTTCAAACCTGAAGCAGATAGTTGGTGCATGTGTACAGTAACCTGAGGGGAGTGAGGTGACTATTTCTGAGGAGAACATGAGCAGTGAAGATTCACCTTGGAGCTAGAACAGGGACGTGCACATGATTATACAGGGGCAGGGGCTCAAGTTTTTTCCAGTCATTTATACAATATGGAAATTAATGTGAAATTAAACCACAAATATGTGTGATGAACTGTTTTTAAAACTTAAACTTCAAATAAAAATTGTAAACTTCAAAACATATGCAAATTTTTAACAAAGAACATAGTAATTTACCTCTATTTACATCAAAATGCAGGCAATGGCCCAGGCGTTCTTTGTAAAATTATTTACAAAACACTGTATAGTCTCACAAATGTCACTTTTTATTTATGCCACTACAAAAAAACATGATGTAAATGATGCATGATGTAAAACATGATGTGTAAAACTTGTGTAGATCCTCCTCTATGTCAGTCCATGTGTAATTTTTCCATAATTCTTTGTTTTTTGCAGCATTTTTGTTAGTGTAACTGCAGATTGTGCTGACAGTGTCTATGGCACAAAAAAAATAAAATTAAAATGCCTCAACATGAACCCCTGGTGGTCTCTGAGGGTGAAACCTGCTAACTGCTGCAGCTCTGTCAGCTTCAGTCTCCCATGCAGAGCTCTGAGCGCATGTGTGGCTCTGCACCCTTAGCAGCGTTGCTAACTCCTCAGTAAGGAAAGCCTGCTTCATGTCAGAGTCTCTAAACTCCAGAAGAAGTCGATAAAAGTCCCTTTCTTTCTAAAAAAAAGTCGTTAGGGGGTCTGAAAAGTCATTGAATCTAACAACAAAGTCGCTAGGTTTGCAACTACGTGTCCCAGACTGCATCCCTGCTGAGAGTCCCTCCCTCCCTTCTCATGTTGCAGGAAGAACGTAAGCGCCCGCCCCTTGTCAATCAGTCACCATATAATTTTGGATTGGTTGTTGTGGTGAAGTTTTCCACCAATAGGAGAGATGTTGTGGTGTGTTTTTTTTTTCTTTTGGCAAGCCTTTTCCGCCTGTAAGACCTGTCGCTAATGTCTGCATGCTATGTTTTCCTGTCTCATACAGCGCGATCGAGCGCCGAACGTGATCAAAATAAGCAGAAAAAAAGTATCGCGGACATAATTTATCATAACTCTGGTTTTATTTGGCCTATCAACACAATTTAAAAACTGGTATATAGGTTGAGGTCCTCACTTTTGAGATAAGTTGAAACGGAGAGTCAACGAGGCTCCGTCTTGCAGCTACATCCGGTTAAATATGTCATGTGACTTGAACGCACACACAGACACACACACACACACGCACACACACACACACACACACACACACACACACACACACACACACACTCAGAGTCTGGTTTTTAGCACCTGCAAAAACATGCTATTTACATATTTGACAAGAATGCAGAGGCTCCTTTTGCCCCTGAAAAAAATCAAATTTCAAACACAACTTGACTGGTCATTTCTCCAAAAGACAACCATGAAGCTCCATCCAAACCTGAAGCAGGCAGTTGGTGCATGTGTACAGTAACCTGAGGGGAGTGAGGTGAGTGCTTCTGAGGAGAACATGAGCAGTGAAGATTCACCTTGGAGCTAGAACAGAGACATGCACATGATTATACAGGGGCAGGGGCTCAAGTTTTTTCCAGTCGTTTATACAATATGGAAATTAATGTGAAATTAAAACACAAAGTATTAATAGAAAGGTAATGACTGTCCTGTGTAGGTGACAGTGATATCCAATAGGCTAGGCACTCACGAGGCTGGCTGTGGCAAGTGTAAGTGAAAGCAACACGCACTGGCAGGAAGAACAGCAAACGCCGATGAAGGAAAAGGGTCTTTGCAGTGATGGGCGTTACCAGAGAGGGCGATGGCCAGAGGACACAAATAGGACGGGGAGGCAGCACGTTGGGGGGGGGGGGGGGGGGGGGCGACACGGCTCGGGCCCGCCAGTGCCCCAACGGGGTCCTAGTTAGGGCCCGAGCGTAGCTGCTAAGCAGCTGCGAGAGCCCTATTATTCCCCAAGGGGTTTTTCTTTGTTTCTTTCTTTCTTTCTTTCTTTAGGGCCCGAGCGTAGCTGCTAAGCAGCTGCGAGAGCCCTCTTGTTCCTGTAGTTTCCTTCTTTTGTTATTATTATTATTTTTCCTCCCCTTTGAACTGGAAAATGGCCCACTTCCCACTGGCGAAAACTCATGAAATTTGGCAGGGCGACCGGGCCTGGTGAAAAATTTGATATTCCGAAGTCGCCCAAACAAGAAAATGCAAAATGGCTCCATAGCGCCCCCTAAGGTGAAAATTCACACTATTCACTGTCACGCCTGTACGCTTTGTCAAAATGACACAAAAATTGACACACACATGTATCTCAATAAGATCTACAAAAAAGTCAGTGCGGGCGTATCTGTCAAATGTACGGTTAAAGGGTTATTTCGCATTTTTTGCCGATCCGCACACATTGGAATTTCGCTAACTCCTCCGAAGGCTTTCGTTCCACCGGCACCACATTTGCTCAGGCCAATCTACACCCCATGGCCATTAAAAGTTATTCAAATCATGACGCTGCACCCCACGGTTTAGGTTCTAGGGGGCGCCAAAGATAACCCTAAGATCCACATATTTAAAAGTCTTATAACTTTTTATTTTTGCCCTCACTGGCCTCCAAGTTTTCTAGGATGATGCAATGTCCAGCCATCAACACATTTGTGAAGGAATTTTTACTCCCCAAAAGAGCGCCCCCCCATGGCAGGAGAAAAAAGTCAATTTTTTCTTGTCCCCTAAGGTGGAAATTCACACTATTGACTGTCACGCCTGTACGCTTTATCATATTGACACAAAAATTGACACACATATGTATCTCAATAAGATCTACAAAAAAGTCAATGCGCGCGTATCTGTCAAATGTACGGTTAAAGGGTTATTTTGCATTTTTTGCCGATTCGCACACATTGGAATGTGGCTAACTCCTCCTAAGGCTTTCGTTCCACCGGCACCACATTTGCTCAGGCCAATCTACACCCCATGGCCATTAAAAGTTATTCAAATCATGACGCTGCACCCCACGGTTTAGGCTCTAGGGGGCGCCAAAGATAACCCTAAAATCCACATATTTAAAAGTCTTATAACTTTTTATTTTTGTCCTCACTGGCCTCCAAGTTTTCTAGGATGATGCAATGTCCAGCCATCAACACATTTGTGAAGGAATTTTTACTCCCTAAAAGAGCGCCCCCCCATGGCAGGAGAAAAAAGTCCATTTTTTCTTGTCCCCTAAGGTGAAAATACACATTGTTGACCGTCACGCCTGTACGCTTTGGCAAAATGACACAAAAATTGACAATCATGTGTATCTCAATTAGATCTACGAAAAAGTCAAAGAGCGCGTATCTGTATAATGTACGGTAAAAGGGCTATTTTGCATTTTTTGCCGATTCGCACACATTGGAATTTCGCTAACTCCTCCTAAGGCTTTCGTCCCACTGACACCAAATTTGCTCAGGCCAATCTACACTCCATGGCCATTCAAAGTTGTAAAAATCATGACGCTGCACCCCACGGTTTACGTTTTAGGGGGCGCCAAAGATGACCCAAATATACATTACAGTAGACAAAGTAGTTTTGCCCACTGAGTGGCGCCAAAGGGACTTGTCTGTGGAGTCTGTGAGTCACTATTGGCCGTTTTTGACTACTTTAGATTTTACCTTTATATTTCCTCTTACAAAATTTTTACCTTGCCTTGCCTGGTATCATTTTTTTCAGCACAACCTCACCTGTGTCAATTTACAGTTATTTTATCATTTTGACATACTATATTTACACATTGGACCCAAATTCACACACAAAACATAAAATCCGAGTGGAAAAAAGTAACGTTTTTACTGTGAAAACCACAAATATGTGTGATGAACTGTTTTTAAAACTTAAACTTCAAATAAAAATTGTAAACTTCAAAACATATGCAAATTTTTAACAAAGAACATAGTAATTTACCTCTATTGACATCAAAATGCAGGCAATGGCCCAGGTGTTCTTTGTAAAATTATTTACAAAACACTGTATAGTCTCACAAATGTCACTTTTTATTTATGCCACTACAAAAAAACATGATGTAAATGATGCATGATGTAAAACATGATGTAAAATACTTGTGTAGATCCTCCTCTATGTTAGTCCATGTGTAATTTTTCCATAATTCTTTGTTTTTTGCAGCATTTTTGTTAGTGTAACTGCAGATTGTGCTGACAGTGTCTATGGCAAAAAAAAAAAAAAAACTGAAAATGCCTCAACATGAACCCCTGGTGGTCTCTGAGGGTGAAACCTGCTAACTGCTGCAGCTCTGTCAGCTTCAGTCTCCCATGCAGAGCTCGGAGCGCATGTGTGGCTCTGCACCCTTAGCAGCGTTGCTAACTCCTCAGTAAGGAAAGCCTGCTTCATGTCAGAGTCTCTAAACTCCAGAAGAAGTCGATAAAAGTCCCTTTCTTTCTAAAAAAAAGTCGTTAGGGGGTCTGAAAAGTAATTGAATCTAACAACAAAGTCGCTAGGTTTGCAACTACGTGTCCCAGACTGCATCCCTGCTGAGAGTCCCTCCCTCGCTTCTCATATTGCAGGAAGAACGTAAGTTCCCGCCCCTTGTCAATCAGTCACCATATAATTTTGGATTGGTTGTTGTGGTGAAGTTTTCCACCAATAGGAGAGATGTTGTGGTGTGTATTTTTTTTCCTTTGGCAAGCCTTTTCCGCCTGTAAGAGCTGTCGCTAATGTCTGCATGCTATGTTTTCCTGTCTCATACAGCGCGATCGAGCGCCGAACGTGATCAAAATAAGCAGAAAACAAGTATCGCGGACATAATTTATCATAACTCTGGTTTTATTTGGCCTATCAACACAATTTAAAAACTGGTATATAGGTTGAGGTCCTCACTTTTGAGATAAATTGAAACGGAGAGTCAACGAGGCTCCGTCTTGCAGCTACATCCGGTTAAATATGTCATGTGACTTTAACGCACACACTCACACACACACACAGACACGCACACACACACACTCAGAGTCTGGTTTGTAGCACCTGCAAAAACATGCTATTTACATATTTGACAAGAATGCAGAGGCTCCTTTTGCCCCTGAAAAAAATCAAATTTCAAACACAACTTGACTGGTCATTTCTCCAAAAGACAACCATGAAGCTCCATCCAAACCTGAAGCAGGCAGTTGGTGCATGTGTACAGTAACCTGAGGGGAGTGAGGTGACTGCTTCTGAGGAGAACATGAGCAGTGAAGATTTACCTTAGAGCTAGAACAGAGACGTGCACATGATTATACAGGGGCAGGGGCTCAAGTTTTTTCCAGTCGTTTATACAATTTGGAAATTAATGTGAAATTAAAAAACAAAGTATTAATAGAAAGGTAATGACTGTCCTGTGTAGGTGACAGTGATATCCAATAGGCTAGGCACTCACGAGGCTGGCTGTGGCAAGTGTAAGTGAAAGCAACACGCACTGGCAGGAAGAACAGCAAACGCCGATGAAGGAAAAGGGTCTTTGCAGTGATGGGCGTTACCAAAGAGGGCGATGGCCAGAGGACACAAATGGGACGGGGAGGCAGCGCGTTGGGGGGGACGCGACACAGCTCGGGCCCGCCAGTGCCCCAACGGGGTCCTAGTTAGGGCCCGAGCGTAGCTGCTAAGCAGCTGCGAGAGCCCTATTATTCCCCAAGGGGTTTTTCTTTGTTTCTTTCTTTCTTCTTTTTCCTCCCCTTTGAACTGGAAAATGGCCCACTTCCCACTGGCGAAAACTCATGAAATTTGGCAGGATGACCGGGCCTGGTGAAAAATTTGATATTCCGAAGTCGCCCAAACAAGAAAATGCAAAATGGCTCCATAGCGCCCCCTAAGGTGAAAATTCACACTATTGACTGTCACGCCTTTACGCTTTGTCATATTGACACAAAAATTGACACACATATGTATCTCAATAAGATCTACAAAAAAGTCAGTGCGGGCGTATCTGTCAAATGTACGGTTAAAGGGTTATTGCGCATTTTTTTCCGATCCGCACACATTGGAATTTCGCTAACTCCTCCGAAGGCTTTCGTTCCACCGGCACCACATTTGCTCAGGCCAATCTTCACCCCGTGGCCATTAAAAGTTATCAAAATCATGACGCTGCACCCCAAGGTTTAGGTTCTAGGGGGCGCCAAAGATAACACTAAAATCCACATATTTAAAAGTCTTATAACTTTTTATTTTTGTCCTCACTGGCCTCCAAGTTTTCTAGGATGATGCAATGTCCAGCCATCAACACATTTGTGAAGGAATTTTTACTCCCCAAAAGAGCGCCCCCCCATGGCAGGAGAAAAAAGTCCATTTTTTCTTGTCCCCTAAGGTGAAAATACACATTGTTGAGTGTCACGCCTATACGCTTTGTCAAAATGACACAAAAATTGACACACACATGTAACTCAATAAGATCTACGAAAAAGTCAATGCGCGCGTATCTTTCAAATGTACGGTTAAAGGGTTATTCCGCATTTTTTGCCGATCCGCACACATTGGAATGTGGCTAACTCCTCCTAAGGCTTTCGTTCCACCGGCACCACATTTGCTCAGGCCAATCTACACCCCATGGCCATTAAAAGTTATCAAAATCATGACGCTGCACCCCACGGTTTAGGTTCTAGGGGGCGCCAAAGATAACCCTAAAATCCACATATTTAAAAGTCTTATAACTTTTTATTTTTGTCCTCACTGGCCTCCAAGTTTTCTAGGATGATGCAATGTCCAGCCATCAACACATCTGTGAAGGAATTTTTACTCCCCAAAAGAGCGCCCCCCCATGGCAGGAGAAAAAAGTCCATTTTTTCTTGTCCCTTAAGGTGAAAATACATATTGTTGAGATTCACGCCTATACGCTTTGTCATATTGACACAAAATTTGACAATCACGTGCCTTGCCTGGTATCATTTTTTTCAGCACAACCTCACCTGTGCGAATTTACAGTTATTTTATAATGTTGACATACTGAATTTACACAATTGACCCAAATTCACACACAAAACATAAAATCCGAGTGGAAAAAAGTAACATTTTTACTGTGAAAACCACAAATATGTGTGATGAACTGTTTTTAAAACTTAAACTTCAAATAAAAATTGTAAACTTCAAAACATATGCAAATTTTTAACAAAGAACATAGTGATTTACCTCTATTTACATCAAAATGCAGGCAATGGCCCAGGCGTTCTTTGTAAAATTATTTACAAAACACTGTATAGTCTCACAAATGTCACTTTTTATTTATGCCACTACAAAAAAACATGATGTAAATGATGCATGATGTAAAACATGATGTAAAAAACTTGTGTAGATCCTCCTCTATGTCAGTCCATGTGTAATTTTTCCATAATTCTTTGTTTTTTGCAGCATTTTTGTTAGTGTAACTGCAGATTGTGCTGACAGTGTCTATGGCACAAAAAAAAAAAAAATTAAAATGCCTCAACATGAACCCCTGGTGGTCTCTGAGGGTGAAACCTGCTAACTGCTGCAGCTCTGTCAGCTTCAGTCTCCCATGCAGAGCTCTGAGCGCATGTGTGGCTCTGCACCCTTAGCAGCGTTGCTAACTCCTCAGTAAGGAAAGCCTGCTTCATGTCAGAGTCTCTAAACTCCAGAAGAAGTCGATAAAAGTCCCTTTCTTTCTAAAAAAAAGTCGTTAGGGGGTCTGAAAAGTCATTGAATCTAACAACAAAGTCGCTAGGTTTGCAACTACGTGTCCCAGACTGCATCCCTGCTGAGAGTCCCTCCCTCCCTTCTCATGTTGCAGGAAGAACGTAAGCACCCGCCCCTTGTCAATCAGTCACCATATAATTTTGGATTGGTTGTTGTGGTGCAGTTTTCCACCAATAGGAGAGATGTTGTGGTGTGTTTTTTTTTTCTTTTGGCAAGCCTTTTCCGCCTGTAAGACCTGTCGCTAATGTCTGCATGCTATGTTTTCCTGTCTCATACAGCGCGATCGAGCGCCGAACGTGATCAAAATAAGCAGAAAAAAGTATCGCGGACATAATTTATCATAACTCTGGTTTTATTTGGCCTATCAACACAATTTAAAAACTGGTATATAGGTTGAGGTCCTCACTTTTGAGATAAGTTGAAACGGAGAGTCAACGAGGCTCCGTCTTGCAGCTACATCCGGTTAAATATGTCATGTGACTTGAACGCACACACAGACACACACACACGCACACACACACACACACACACACACACACTCAGAGTCTGGTTTTTAGCACCTGCAAAAACATGCTATTTACATATTTGACAAGAATGCAGAGGCTCCTTTTGCCCCTGAAAAAAATCAAATTTCAAACACAACTTGACTGGTCATTTCTCCAAAAGACAACCATGAAGCTCCATCCAAACCTGAAGCAGGCAGTTGGTGCATGTGTACAGTAACCTGAGGGGAGTGAGGTGAGTGCTTCTGAGGAGAACATGAGCAGTGAAGATTCACCTTGGAGCTAGACCAGAGACATGCACATGATTATACAGGGGCAGGGGCTCAAGTTTTTTCCAGTCGTTTATACAATATGGAAATTAATGTGAAATTAAAACACAAAGTATTAATAGAAAGGTAATGACTGTCCTGTGTAGGTGACAGTGATATCGAATAGGCTAGGCACTCACGAGGCTGGCTGTGGCAAGTGTAAGTGAAAGCAACACGCACTGGCAGGAAGAACAGCAAACACCGATGAAGGAAAAGGGTCTTTGCAGTGATGGGCGTTACCAGAGAGGGCGATGGCCAGAGGACACAAATGGGACGGGGAGGCAGCACGTTGGGGGGGGGGGGGGACTCACGGCTCGGGCCCGCCAGTGCCCCAACGGGGTCCTAGTTCTTTCTTTCTTTCTTCTTTTTCCTCCCCTTTGAACTGGAAAATGGCCCACTTCCCACTGGCGAAAACTCAGGAAATTTGGCAGGACGACCGGGCCTGGTGAAAAATTCGATATTCTGAAGTCGCCCAAACAATAAAATGCAAAATGGCTCCATAGCGCCCCCTAAGGTGGAAATTCACACTATTGACTGTCACACCTGTACGCTTTGTCATATTGGCACAAAAATTGACACACATATGTATCTCAATAAGATCTACAAAAAAGTCAGTGCGGCCGTATCTGTCAAATGTACGGTTAAAGGGTTATTTCGCATTTTTTTCCGATCCGCACACATTGGAATTTCGCTAACTCCTCCGAAGGCTTTCGTTCCACCGGCACCACATTTGCTCAGGCCAATCTACACCCCGTGGCCATTAAAAGTTATCAAAATCATGACGCTGCACCCCAAGGTTTAGGTTCTAGGGGGCGCCAAAGATAACACTAAAATCCACATATTTAAAAGTCTTATAACTTTTTATTTTTGTCCTCACTGGCCTCCAAGTTTTCTAGGATGATGCAATGTCCAGCCATCAACACATTTGTGAAGGAATTTTTAGTCCC